ACTGTGGAGTCCCAGAACTGAAACATAAAGAAATTAGTGTAATATGCAAGAAACTGTATACCTCTACTATTTTTACAGAATCAAATTCATAGTGTCTTTCCACATTACTTTTATCTACAGAATATATGTGTAAAAATGTGCTTTTACTTCCTTTTTAAGCTTTGCATGCTGACAAAAATCTATACCTTATTATTGGCGGATAAGCAACTTGTGAAACTGATGTAAATCAAAGTGTTTTGGAAGAAAAAAATTGGAAATTGTGTATTTTCTGTATAGAAAATACAGAAAATATAATTCCAATGTTTCTTGGAATTATATTAATTTATTATGGAAATATTTCTTAATTAAAGAGAACTTGTACTTCTCTTTGACCATTGTTGTGTAGGTAGGGTTGCCAACTGCCCGTTTTAGCTGGGACATCCTGTATAATGAGCAAAAATGGTTCGTCTCTTATTCTACCTCAGATGTCCTGTATATGCAACCCGTTTTGACCATTACCTGTAATGCCACTTAAATCTGATTTGACTGCAGTTGTATCAGATGATTGTTTCTGCCCAGTCACAACATTCAGTGACGGCCCATTATGCACATTAGATGTGAAGAGTAATACGTGATTTGTAAAAATAAGGTGATGTTTTGTCTGTGTAGCATAATAAACTGGGTGATTGAAGTCCCTATTTACAGTATTTTATTTGAATATTTTTTTTCTTATTACACTATGCCCAGCTGGCTGTGCACTGCGCTTCTGGTACACCAGAGTGCCCCTTATTTTATAGTTAAAAAGTTGAAAACCCTATGGGCAGCTTAACTTAGTTCCGCTAGTTTCTAGCTTAGAGATACTCGCTTAGAAATATAGGCCTGGTTCTATTAATTAATGCTAGCCTTTAGTTTAATATTGTCACTCATTTGCCTAGGAGTGTTAATTGGGAGCTTAAGGGATGATAACTTAGTGATGCTAGGTAGTAACCTAGCAATGCTAGTTACTAGTGCAGGGATGCTAGTTAATAATAGTCACCAACTTAGGGATCCTATTTATCATTCTAGGAATGCTAGTCAGTATTATAAGGATGTGAGGTAATAATAATTACTAGCTTAAACATGCTAGTTGCTGGCCTAGAAATTCTAGTCAGTAGTGTAGGTTGGTTGTTAATAGTAGCTATCTTAGGAATGCTAGTTGCTAGCCTAGGAAGGCAAGTTTGTAGGCTGGGTATGCTAGTTAATGCTAATGCTAGAAACTATTATATTAACTTGTTAACATATTAACTAATTAATGCTAGTTCCCAGCTGAGGATAATGAATCCCTTTCATAGGAACGCTTGTAAATACTCCAGGGATGCTAGTTATTAAGAGCTGCTAGCTTACTGATGATTGTTGCTAGCAAGTTGATGCAAAAGGAGAAATCTTACTTTTTTCCCAGAGTAACGGAGAAACTTATAAGCTTTAGTCGGAATACCTGATTAATCTGGATGCCTGAAGTTAGCATCATGTTTTTTAAAGTATGGAAAGAATGATTATACGGCCAATCAGTAAAAGTTATCCCCTAGCTTAATATTAAAATCATCTGAGATATAATATTAAAATAATCTTTTATCTGAGATAAAAACCTGTAACTTCAAATATTTATCTTACACCATTTCTTTATTTGAACTGTATTTATTTGGAATGCTTGGAAAGAAAAGGGAAAGTCCCTGAGCCTGTGAAGCAGCTCCTTCAGGCCGGTGCCCACATGAGGCTTTAAACGGTAGGGAAGGGTCTTGTGGCAGCACCTGGCTCACAGAGAACTCCTACCACAGGATAATAACCAAATCATCTTAACCCACACAGCTAGTGCCAGCTGTTGCACTGGGCACAATTCCAGAAAGGCAAAACAGAGAGGCGGAGAGGAAAAAGAAAGAAAGCACTTGTCTTGCCAACACATCATGGCCCCAGCATGAATTCGAACGTCAATAATTCCACTGCTGGTTTTTCGACTCAGTGTAAAAGTTGGCACTCAGTGTGTGATACCGAGGGGCCACAGGGAGGGCAGTGAAAGAGGAGTGACACAAGGGTGCACTGTTTAGTCTGGCAGGTCTCAGCTGCTTTATGAGCCAACACTCGACCTTTGTGAGCCCACCGCATCCATCTGTTACTGTAGCTACTGTCCAGTCTGGAAGCCCCTCTCACAAATGGATAAAAACAATAAAATCAATTTATAACTTTCCTTTTGTAGACTCGTAAAATTCCACCTTTCTACCTTCATTAAAACTTTATTATAGTTACAATCAGTAACATATTCAAACCTGAAAATGTGTCCTTATTGCTGCGCTATTCTGTCAAGTTTTTTTTTTACTTAATTTACTCTGACCACAGTTGTTATCCAGATATATCCAGTTACGAAATGCATGCTTAAGCTCTACTGCAACTTCCAATGAAAATGAAAATCCAGAGAATGATAATGGAGTTAAGTGCAGCAGTGCTATCAGGAGCCTGTTTGCTTTGTGTAAGATACCAGTAGCACGTTGTTCTGGACTGAGTGGTGTAGCTTGAATACAAGTTCACAGTTACTGATGTGTTACTGAAGATCTTGCCACTCCTGCATCTCATCTTTTATTAGGAGGCTGACATAAAAAGTGCTAAAAATGAATGGAGAAAGGTTATTTAAAGAGCATCAGATGAGAATTTATTGTAACTATATTTGGATTGAAATATATTTTTTATTTTTACAATTCATAGAAAATTATTGATTTTTCAGAATTTAATTGACTTTGAAATATGTAAGCAAAATAAAAAGCAGTGAAAGGGGAGGAAGTTTAGAAATATTTGACTTAACTAACGTATATGTGCCCACTCCCTTATATAATATTGGCAAAACATCTACAACAAAGCTAGATATAGTGACTGTAAAGACTATTGACTGTCTGAGCCTGATTGGCAGAGGGTAATTTAATTAACTTTAAGCCATTTAAAACAAGTTCAAGTTCTAATTTGACCTGTCCCCATGACCCGCAGTCCTTATATCAGCCTGCTGCTTCTTAAAGGACCTAATCAATTCACATAAAACTGATATATGTTAATGAAATGATCAAAGACCTTTTTATACACGTAAAATACACAAATGCATAAATCCTAATTTAAACAACTATATAGTGTAAAAATAACAGATTAACAGAATAACAAAGTATTTAGGGAGGTTATACTGAAAACTGTACAAAGGCTTACAAAGAAAACAATGATCCACGCACATTTGAACTTATATAAACAAAATTATGATGCCATTGATAATATGGAAAATAATAATGTTTAATGTTACAGACTGACTCGATACATTTGATATTTTGACAAATATACTAATAATATAGTATAGTACTAATATAACACGTATCATATGTCATAACATATGTCCATAAGTATGTGGACAGCTGAGCATTTTGCCCATATCCCTTCAACGCCTAGTGTACCATATTTGATACATGAAGTTTTTTGGAGTTTTTGAACCTTCAACATCATCTGTGTGTTTTTTTCCTCCTGAAAAAATCGAAATAAATTGCACAATAATGTTTTAAGCATTTTTTTTTATCCCAGATGTAGCAAATATGAAATGTAATGCAATTATTTTTTTAAGCACATTTGTCAGATGGTTCAGTAAAATCTTCATTTTAAAAATGGCTTTTTAAAATTTCTTAGTTGAGGCTTTAAAGAGATATTTGTGTAACAGCTTCTGTTTTTCTGGTTTCAGCCTTTTTAACAGGTGTTGAACCTCCTGCGACTATTTGCTCTGATTTAACAACAGTAAGGTCCAGGGGTATGTCAGATGGTGTTTAAAATTCTTGTTTTTTCTGAAATTGTCTTGAAAATATCTATTATTTTTTAAACTGCTTATCCAGTTTGGGGTCATATCCATGGGGTCTATCCATCTGTCATGGCTAACACACAGGAGGTGGTTTATCTAGGCTCGCATTAACAGGGTGAGTTTAGAATCACCAATTCTTGTCTTTGGACTGTGGGGGGAAGAAAGACAGAAAGACCCCAGCTGGTAGATTCAAACTCAGGACCTTCTTTCTATGAGGCTGCAAAAGATCAAATGATGTCCTCAGTAGTGATTGGATACTGTGCAGATGTTACTGGCCTGGAAGTGGTCACACGTGGACGCACAACTGGCAACTGCCCTTCCACGAGCCTGGTCCTCCATGCTTGATGAAAGGGAGTTTTTTGATTGTTGGAGTTTTTCTGTATTATTGTAGGATCATTACCTTAACCTCCTAGGACCTGGTGTCCACATATGTGGACATCACATTTTGGGTTATTTACACCAAAATACTCAATTTTGCTCTACAAGGGCCTGATATCCACTTACGAGGACATTATACTGCTACTGTTCAAAATTTTAAACAAATATGCTCATATGTGGCTCTCATGTTTCTTAAAAACAAAAATAAGGTAAAAAAAAATAATAAAATCTGGTAATTCTTTGTTTTTACATTCATCGGGCCCCAATATGCCCAAATATCAAAGAGAAATTAAAAATGCATGCCGTGGAAGAGTTCGGGTCTTAGGAGGTTAAAATATAAAGCACCTTGAGGCAACTGTTTGACAGTTGAATTGCCAAAGATTTAAAAAAAAGGATCCTATGATTTTTTTTTGCAGTTACAGTTACTATTTACCAGTCAGTTAGTTTGACTGAGACATTTTAAAACCTTCAAATTCCTTTTAAAATGTCCTTATTTGTGTGTGTAGATAGCTGTCTATATAACTGTGCAGGGCTGTTTCTGCATAAACAGAAGAACTGAGATCAAAACATCCGTCTTTGCACCTCTTTGTTTACACCCTAGATGAAAGCAAATGGGCTGGAGGCTGCTGCGCGCAGACAGGTTGCATTTCATGACATGCAGTCATCGCCGCTCCACAGCGCCCCGCTCCGGCCTGCGCCTGCACTGCGACGAGAAGCCGTGCGCGCCCGGTGAGCGACTGCCGCTGAAGAGACGAGACCGCTGTCTGCACTCAGGTAAGAAAACCCAGACATATTTGTTTTATTTAACCGATCCGGTGTGGCTGCAATCACACCGAAACATCAGGAGAGCGGGCGACGTGCGGCTCAAACCCCGCGTCGTAATTCTGCGTCGGCATTCGTCCTGTCACTTGATATTTTATTTGCATGAGGTGGGAGAGGTTGGGCCTGTGCGCGTTTTACGTATAGAAATTTCGTGCACTTGAACACGAGGCGTATTTTTTCTCTTATATCTCATGACAGCGCAGATTCTCCTGCAGCAGCTTCATTTTGCGTGTTTTCGGGGCTCACGCTTTTCATTGTGCGCGATCTGCTCCTCCATCGACCTACAATAAACAGAGAAACGTGTTTTTGTTGCAGCCATCATCGCACCAGCCCTGGAGGTGCAGTCACCTCCCTACAAACACGATACATTCAGCGTTTTTCTTCCTCCTCAAGAGGAAAAAAAATGTCTCCATCATCCTCCGGAGCAGGTCCTGTTTTCGTTACTGCCACTCTGCTGCTGGCGCGCAGTAACGAGACTAATCCTCCAGAGTATTTATAATCTCATTAATAAAGAATCCCATGGGGGCAACAAAGCGGTGTTATTTCTCTAAGATTTACTGTAATTTAATAACACTTGTGTTCTTTGTGTCGTCGGCTTTGAGTGTGAATTTATGGCTGTATGCACCCCCCTCCCCTCCCGTTATTCTGGATCTTTCGCTTCTTTCTTGCATCTGAGGCCTAAATGCTTGAGGCTGCCTCACAAACCAGCTCCTTTGATTTTAATATGTGAGATTCTGACATGTAAATAGACGCAAAAACGAGAAGCCCCTGGTGTATTTAATTGATTTCCGTGCGTCTCTGTATTGTTTCGAGAGCGGATAGTGTTGGAAATCGGGATGAAGCAGCGTTTGTGCGCAAATGCCAAGCCCATTTTTTTCGCCTTTTTTTCATATTATAAACAGAGGAGAGCGCCCATGTCTCCGTGTGCTGTCACACGGCCAGTGCAGTGAACCAGGCTGCTTATCTGACACATATGGGCTCTTGGGTAATCCTCCCAGGGTCAGCGGACGCGATCTGACCCACAGTAGGTGCATGAAAGCCTTTTAACGCGAACCCTTTATGCCCGCCACATGAACAATATGTGATTTTTTCCTCTTTGGTTTGGTGGAGGGATGTTGGAGTGAGAATCTCTCGTCTCCTTCCTCGGACACACCTCTCTCCCACCCTCACTGGTTCTCACTCATTGCATCGATTTCTGTAACAATTACAGTGAAGAGGAGCGGGCATGTTGTAGTCAGTAACCGCAGCTGGGAGCCATTCCAACTGATGCGCAGAAAGCACTGAAACACATCTCAGTGCCATCTTTTTGTTTTTTTTTTGATAAACTCAGACATCCTTCTGCAAGTTTCTGCAGCACTTGGGCACGACTGGAGAGACACGCTGGTATGTGCACAGGGAGGTCTGAGAGGGGCTCCTCCCCCCCAAAAACACTGCTGGACATGTTCAGATCAGCCTTGAGGCATCTATCCTCTAAAACCTTTAGACTATAGCTGATTCTCTGCTTTCGATTTGGGCATCCAAACCTGTCTAGTTGGATTAGCAGCACAACAAAGCTGGCAACTGAGTGCACACATCTCCAGCCAGGGGTCCCAGGTCCACTTCTTGCTGTATGCATAATTAATTGAATGCTGGCAATATGAAGCACAATTTCAACTGCAGACAAGCCAAACGACGGTGCAGAGTTGTTGAAAACTGTCAATAAAAATAGGAAAGTTTCATATTTCCATTATAGCAGAACTTAAAAGACATTGTCAGTGAGTGTTGTTATATTTGAAAAATCACTGTGCAGCATATTTGGTACGATTGCTTTTATGCATGTAGACGAAATAATGTTTGATATCAGTTAAGTTGCCACCTGGTTTGTCAGGGACCAGAAATATGTTGGGTCCAGATTTTAGCTTTTAGATATGTGATTGTAAGCTTGATAATTCTACATGATATATTTTTGGGAAGGTTATTTTTACATACTGACGCATGTACACTGGCTGTATTTTGGGTTTCTGGAGCACAGCACACAAAGTTTGTGAGCATCAAAATCAACATAGAAGAAGTCGAGACATCCCTACTTTTAGTCGCTTAACATGTCAAGCTTTTTACTCTGGAACATGTATTACTCTGACATTTTTCCACAAAAAAGGCCAGCTTGCCCAGCCTGTGTCTCACCATAGTTGTGGTTTCTTGTTTTCACCAAAGAGACATTTCTGCTCCAGACCACTCAGATGTTTTCATTTAAGTAGCTGTTTGAGGAACAAAGAAGTAAAATCATCCGAGGCTTCGTAAGACAGGGAACTATATGCAGATTTGTTCAGAAGCACTCACTCATCAATCATCCGACCACCCCTGAGACTTATTCTGTGATCCTTTACATTCTGATTTTGACTGTATTTTTACCTGTTATGATGTATTTTTACATTGCTCTATTAGCAGTTTATAAGTGAAAAAAGGTGTGGTTAAAAAGCCAAAGGTCTCAAACTGACCCAACCTCCTTTTTGGGAATCATCAGCGGCGATGAGACCAAACAGCGTCTAAGCCTGAAAGCGATGCATCAGGTCAGGAGTGTAGCTAGGAGCAGTCTCATCATTTAACAAAGAATGAGGTCGTGCAGGATTATTACAGTCCCAAGCATTAGACACGTCATCACTTGGCTAGAAAACATCAAGCCTGAACTGTCAAGTCAGAATTGGATGTCCACCTAAAACAGTAGCAGCAGTGCATAAGGAGAAGATCCCGAAGGGGAGATTGGCTAAATGCGGTTTGAGTCCAGAACTTTATGATGGCACTTTTACTTTTAAAGCCTTTTCCTTCTACACACGACACTTGTTCTGGTATGCAGGTGTGTATGCTGTACAAACGGAGCAAATCCAAAAGAACTGGCGACGAAGCTGAAAGAAAACCTAAAGAACTGAAAACGCAGACGTGTGTAATGTAGTTAAAGATGCAGGCTGATGTGAGCAGTGCAGCTCTTTTGAAATAAATCAATCACTCTCCTTAATGTGACTGCTGACTCCATCATGGCCTCAAGCGTCGGGCATTATGAAATGAGTCCGCACTGAAGTGCTCCATTTAGCAAAGACTGACAGCCTGTTGGCCCCCGTCGGCTCGAGTCCAAAGGCGACCGCATCCAGCCGGCCGGCTTCAGTTTGGACGGACCCGCCTGCAGAGCTTAGGCTGGCAGAATAAACAGCACCACAGCAATTAAGTCTCCAGAGTGGAGCTTTTCTAAAAGTTACTCAGATTTATTTGGCTTCAGAGCTCAAACAGGCAGCTGAGCTACTGATTTAAGGAAATATTCTTTTAAGTTACTTTATTATTTTTAAAAAGGCTCAAACTCCTCAAAAATGTCCGTGTGCTGCTCTTTCCCTGTTTTAAATTATTTGAACATTGCAAGAAGTTTGAGCATTTCATCAAGAGAGTTTGACAGTTCTAACCCACATTTATGTACTCTTGATTTAAAAGATATATTTTTGATATCACTTTATGCATTGATTCTAGTTTACTGAACACATAAAGGACAAGATAAACCTCACAGACGTGTAATGTTTCACAGAACAGGCCTTTTTCTGGATGCGTTGCCTCATTAAATAGAAGAAGAAATGCCACAGCGGGATTTCAGCTGCATTCTTGTACACACTTAATTGGCACCATGCTGACTGAGGACTGGCTCATTGCATTGGGAAACCTGTGTGTGTGTGTTCATTGTGAACATACAGCAGCAGCTGGAGTCCCTGATTATTTAACAGTCTGCGCCGTGCAAACATGAGAAGAATTCCTCATATCTTGAATTCCATAATGCAACATTGTGGCCTCAGAAATGTCGCGGTTTGTCTTTTACTTCTTTGGAACCTAGAAGTACAAGTCTGGCATTGATTATGTGCCAGTTATTTGAATGTGAACTGAAAGGAGGATGCGTGTGAAGATAGCAGAGCAGGGCGTGGCTGAAATCCTGAAGGTGAAATATTGCAAACATTAGCTGCTTGTAGATGCGGGACGTCAGGGTGGTGCCGTGTGCAGACCGGCCCTGCAAGATGTTTCCCCTCCAGCGCTTAGATGGAGGGGAAAATGGAAACGGGCTCCACCTTCAGCCCCTCCGCTGCAGGGCCGGGCCCACATTAGGAAGGTAGAGTCAGAGTGTGCTGGCTGCCGGAGGCTGGGCCAGAGCACAGAGAGAGGGAGAGAGCGAGTGGTGAGCAAAGTAGGTCAGAGATACAGAGGCAATCAAGCATGAGAGCAGCATCCTCGTCTCTCAGCTGAGCTACACGCAGGGCTGGTGAGGCGGCAGGCCCGTACACGGCATCAGACGAATGCCTTTGTTTCTCAGTGTGAGCCATTTTACCTCTAAAACTGTCACACACTCAATGAATTGGTCAATAACATTAGATTGGTTGAGAGTTGTTGGGATTTGTCGAGTATAAATGCTAAATATAATCTGGTTTCAGCTTCTCAGATGTGAAGTTGCTTGTTTTTACTTTTATGTCAGTGTAAATGAAATATCTTTGTTTTTGCACACTAAAAACAGAAAATCTGCTCAGGTTTCTTCTGTAATACATAGCAGCTGAGACCATGACTCGATCAATCTGTAGATAAAACTTAATTAATCTGTAAAAATGCTAAGGACTGAACTGCATTTGTCTTATTATGGTTTCAAAATAAGCCTTAGACTGTATATAAAAGATGGACATAGCCTGGTTTGTGAAGTTCTGTTATGAAGACCATATTTGGACAAGAAGATGGAGTGCTAATATAAAAGCTAACGCTGGCAAACGCTGCTCAAAAGCTGTATCTGTGCATCATACTGAAAGAGATAGTGCAAAGTAACATACAAAAAGAGAAGAAAGTCATTAAAACTGGAGCAAAGACTTCTGATAAGTCCACTAAAATGCTCCAGAAAGCACAAACACAGTTAAGAGGCACAGCTCAGTTACTCAAATTAGCAGAGATGATCCGTAACGGGCAGCTAAGGACCCGTGCTGGCACTCATCCACTTATACAGACAGTAACCCTCATTATTATTTGTCAATAAAGGATAATTAGCAACTAAAACCTTTTATATTTTTCTGTTTTTTGGGCCGGCTTTAAGAATAATGCAATTTCATAATTTTCATTATTCAAGTGTCCCCAGATTGCTGCATATTTGTAATTCTACATGTTCAGATTATAAAGGAAGCTGCACAAACTGTTTGTAAAGTCAAATCTGAGTCCACTTAACTCTGGATCATTATGACTTGCAGGTTTGGAGTTCTTCTGGTAGCCAACTTTATATCAGAAATAAACATTTGCAGCCTGTTACAGATATAACAGCTGACAGGGTAACCTTTTTATAACTCGTCTCTGGATTCTGCAGTTATGGGCGTGGTTTCTTTGATTGGCAGGTGTCCTCACCACTCGATTGTGTTTAAACTGTTGGTGCTGCTAAAGTGTTTAATGGGAAATGATACATGGCGCAGCACATCTAAGTAGTTTGTGTTTCACTTTTGATTAATGAAATTCTTCAGTTTTATTGTTTGGTTAGTTGGAAGCACTTAACAGATACCTGTGTCTACTGCTAGCTGCTGACTTAGCACTCCATTCACGTTTAAATATGGTCCCTTCTTGGCCCTAAAAGCCAACATGACAGTGGCCAAAGTGCGGCTGCAGCTTTATATACAATTTATGGTTAATCTTTATGAGCAACATATCAGGAATTCTGCAGGGATTCAAACTTATCTTAATTGTCGCACTAGGGGAAACAGCAGAAACACAGGAAATAAAGTGCATCATCTCACACACACACACACACACACACACACACACACACACACACACACCTAATTTCAGACTGCTTGTCTCACTGAGTGCTCAGAGCTCTTGGAGCTGTGTCAACATCCCTGTTGACCGAGCTCCTTGCAGAGGCACGGTCTGTGCCAAGATCACATTTTCACACGCCCCTGAGAGGAACAAGCTGCATCAGCAGCCCTCTGAGGCTTTTCCCCCTCATGAAGCTGCGACAAAGACTGCTGTCACGTTCCCTTTCTGCAGCAGGTGAAATGTGTGTGTGTGTTTTTGTCCCAGTTCAAATCATTAAGGAGGTGCTGGTCCCGTCTAAAGTGTTTCTGTTGAAAGTTTGCCGAGGACCGAAATTAGTGAAATGCTCTTGGGAAGGAGAGTTTACAGGACTGCTTCCGCCCGAGCATTTCTGATTACGGGTTTAAGATCGCCTCTATTTTTAAAATTAGATGTGGTGAATCTGTTATGTATTTGAGCTATAGATTCTTTATTCTGGCCTTACTGTCTCAGGCAGAGGATATGATTCACACTAACGTACAGTGCTCGTGTACACATGATTATCTGAAGGATCTGCTCCTTATCAGACTCGAGTTTGTTTGCTCTCCAACCGTCTGAGCTCCCGGATGCAGAGTGAACGACCTCTCGGAGGGATTGTCTTTGCTGGCACGAGTGCTGCCTTCTCCTTGTTGTTTGGATTCTGTCATGTGTAACGCTACAATGAAGGGTTTTGTTGGGGAACTGTGTGTGAGGACCGGGAGAGTGCACTATTCATTAGAGCTCCTATGGGATACACACTTATATAATGTATTAGGACCTCCTCCTATGTTAATGAGTTTTTTTGTCAGAATAAAACTGTTTTTAATCCATGTAGTTGTTGTTATCATTAAAGTACAAATAAACAGGCTGGCGCTTTTCTATTCAATTTGACTACTCAAAGTAGCTGTAGCTGAGAAACCAGCTTATCCACTGTACAGCTGAGTGAAATGGCAGCAACTTGGCTAATGTTGACATGAAAAATTAAGGTGTGCTTCTCCAGACAGTGTGTGAGTCTGTGTTTAATGCTGAGACAGGTGGAGTCCTGTGATTGGCCCATTAGAGTTTGCCCTCTTTGGATTGGGCCTTTGGATGGCTCCAGCTGACATCCACCTTTCTCGCTCCTGGCAGTGAGCTACAACAGTTTAAGTAGCCCTTCACTGTTAAACTGTAAACACTAAGCATACTGTGTGTACATCACACACATTAGTGACTCTTTTTGTTGAACCATCTCTCCTGTTTTTGTTCAATAACAAGGTTTATCTTAGTCATTCGGTAATGAACATAACAGCTACGTCGTGGGTGTATAAATGACTTATCTGGGTAGCTCAGCTCCATATGGCCGAGTTTTTAATAACTTAAAGAAAGCCAAGCTTCTTCAGTTCTAAGAGCAAATTTGGAGAGTCCCAGATTTTAAGCCCTATGGGAGTGTCCCCAAGAGGGTCATGGACCCCGTATTGATCCTCTGTCTAATCACATGAGCCAAGGTGTGAAATCTGGTGTGGGTGAACCTGTGTGAAACCTAGCCCCACTCTATCATGTGATTTACTGAGGTCAAATGGCCCAGGATTGACCTCAGTAAATTGTGACCCATGCCTGTTTTCACACCTTGGGCTTAAAATTGGGGACTCTTAGAATTGAAGAAGCTTCCCGGTTGAGAGGTGAAACGTCTACAAGAAACTTAAAGAAGTCCAGATGCTTTTCTTTCCAAGCTCCTTAGACCTGATAGATATTATTCCTCTATAGAAGTGAGTGCCACACTTTATTTTGCCTCACTTCTTCTGCTGAAATACTCACTATTCACAAGTAACTACGATGACCTGGATGACTGAGAACCTTTACAGACAATATCTATCAGGCTTTGACTCACAGCAGGTGATTGGATGAATTCTCTGTGTAATTGAACTATGAGGAGAATCGAGCTTCTTTGTGAAAACGAGCCTCTCTGTGGTGCTTAAGCCTGATCTTGTTTCCACCTTGTCCCTTTTCTGTCATCTGTGCTGAATGTGGAGCGCTGTTTAAACACCCAAGGTCAGGAGACATGAAGGTACACAGAGGGAAGGTCGCATAGCTGGGCTGAGCGTGCCTTTAGGGTGGGTTTTATAGGGTGGGTAACCATAGCAACAGTTCAGGCGCTGCTGCTCTTAAGACGACGTTTGCATCAGGTGGCGTCACAGGAATTCGTGAGATTTGTGTTCAGTAAAAGCAGAGAGTTCAGGTGTTTCCGTATGCGGCTGGCATGCTCCTGAACAACTCTTGGGTGATGTGTTTAGATGAGGAGGAGGCCCAGCAGCAGATCCAGGACATGGAGACACTCTGTCTCTCAGCTAACTTACGTCTGTGGGCAGAAAGACCTGGGGGAGGTGGTTAGTGTGAGCGAGGTCTGGACATTTCGGTAGCATCGAGCTAAAGTAAGGGCAGCAGAAGATGGAGCAGGTTTTTCTTTTTTTTTTTTTTAATAAGCGTTCATGAGGTTATTACGATTTTATAAGCTGCTCATAGTATTTTCATGTATAAATCTTAATCTGTAAAGTAACGAGTAACTGTATCGGCTGAATAAATGCAGTAACAGAGAAAAGCCCAGAAGGATAAAGCATTAAATGGGCCAAACTTTCACTTTCATTCTTGAGGAAATCCACTTTCCCTCACTGAGTTAGAAGCAGCAGTTTTTGCACTTGCTGTTTTATTTCCGTGACTACTTTGACAATTTTATGTGCTACTATAATAGCCGCTTTAAGCTGTATTGTACATCTCAGAGATTAAAGTGTCATGTTTATGTGCCAAAGTAGACATGAGGGCGAAACCGAAGGCCAGAAGCTGCCAAATCTGCATCACCAAACAAACTCGGGGCATGCAGTTTGGATGCACAGACTGATTACGGCATAAGCTGTCCACACTGTCCGCGTGTGTGTGTTTGTGTCAGAGGAGAGGGAAAAAATATGATTCAAGCTGAAAAGCGCTGATGTAACCAGAGGCTCGGGTTTAAGCTGACATGTAATCCTCTTTTTATGAGATTGGACGCAATTCACATCTCGGCGGTTGAAGGAGCGTCAGTGTTGTGTTGTACAGTGGGGAGCGTTTGCATCCTGATGACCTGCCTGCCACGGCTGAGACGTGGCTGCACTTGTTGTTGCAGTTAGTCAGTGGGTGTTTAGGAAGTGCAGCCCTGTCACAGCGAGGACAGCGTGCACATGGGCAGAGGGCACTATTTTTGTCTGTGAGGCTGTAACCTGAAGCGCTGACCCCACGTCAGGATGTATAAATAACAAGGTTTTCACAGGCACAGTGTCTGTTTACATTCTGTGGTGACGGGCTTGTTCTGCAGGCCGGAAGACAAAGTGTCTGTTAAGTGCGCCATCATTACAGCCATTTTCTTGCTTGTCAGCTACTTTCAGCTGACATGTGTAACGTGACACACCCTGGACCTTCAGTACTTCATTAATTTGCTTTTTTCTTCCTGCAGCCCGACCCACGACTGGCAATGGAGTACGTGAACAACGCGAACAGCTACAGTTCTGGAGACACCATGAGCAGCTCCTTAGCCAACATGACCATCAAGGATCAGCACCACCAGGAGAACGGAGTCAAAATGAAAGGTCAGACATTAGAAATACAGTCTGGAAGCAAAATAGGATCCAACACACAAATGCAAACTCCCTAAAAATGAACAGAAAGTGTCTTTAATGAGATCTTTTTCCAGCTTCAGCTCACCTTGTGAATCCTCTGAGCTCCACTGGTGGGTCTGAAATCAGTCTGATGACAGAGAGCTGTGAGATGTTGCTGCACTTTGGTTGGCAGATGATTCGGATTAAACAATGAGCAGCTTTCTTTTCTTCTGACTGCAAACCATTATTTCTCACAGCACGAGTAGAGATGATGCTATTTTTGTGCTGTTAGACCTACGCATGTTCAGTTTCCAAGGATACGAGAGATTATCTGATGGTGCACGTCCAAAGAATCTGTCAATTCCACGCTTCTCATTGATCGTAGCTAGCCGCCCCTCTAGTAGAGGGAAGACAGGAAATTACATGACCCCACTCTTCATCAGTATAAAAGCATAGAGCGGGTTTATGCAATCAGGGGGATCCAACGTGATACAACACCTCTGGAAACTCTTGAAAAAATATTATTTTTAAGGAAAAAATTGAGACAACGGCAACTTTTTTGTATAAATGTGTTTTTTGTAGTATGAGGAAAAACTGTGCAAGTGAGCCATCGCGTTGGTTTTGGTTTAATATCCGGGATCAGCTCGTGTGAGGGCTTTATATGTTCAGCTCAGACTGTAGGAACAGGAGAGGCCTATCGATGATCTATCACCTCCTTTTTATCACTTACTTTTATTACCACAAATAATTAACTGTAAAAACTTAGCTAAGTTGAACTTTAAGTAAAAATCAGTGTAATATGAATCATTTTAATATCATTCCATATTTTCCCTCCGTTGTCCACCTGCACTGAGGCTCACAGTCGAGTGTCCAGTGCTGGTGTGTACCACACGTTCTCTGACAGCCCGTTCTCACTCCCGAGGCGTAACATGCCGACGTTTTGTCACGACGTTTTGACCTTCGGCGTTCTTATGGTACGCGGCGGGTTATGGCCGAAATCCAGTGCAATGACGCTCCCACAGTAATAGACGTTCCAGCCCTGTATTCCAGCCCTAAACCTAACCTTTTTCCTGACCTTAACCAGGACTTTAATGATGTTAAATAGCGTGTTTCTAAGCGATTTGAAGAAAAGAGCGAACATGTGTAGATTGAGTCCATACGGTTCTCATATTTAGGAACGTGGTGGGTAGCCGAAAACGTAATATGTTGACGATTTGTCACCTAGCGTAAAATGTTACGCTTTGGGAGTGAGAACGTGTTGTCTCTGAATATACCCGAAGACTTATATATTATTAGTCTGATGAAAACTGACCTACAGAAGTACAAACTCATTTTGTACACCAGCAACAAAAATCCGTCTGATTATGAAATGTGAAAAAAGCTAAATTCGTACTTGTTGTCAACTGCTCTTCATCTGCAGTTAAGCTCTAAAGGTTTGTGAGGTGCCCACAACAATAAAACCTCTGAGGTATTATCTTCCTTGTGTTAATAACAGCTTCCTGAAAAGGGATCAACGATGGACGTAGCCACCATGATCCCACCCGGTAATAAAACTGACTGATTGATCACTGCGTCACTGCTAACACTGAGGCTAAATGTTACATGTGGATAAATAGGAGGAGAGCCGTTAGCAGGCTGTAATCAAACTCTATGATCACATCACATAGACTGAGCTAGCTGCTAATTATAGCGAACTGTAAAAATGTCTCTGAAATTACAGCATGTTTGAGTGGAAGTTATGTAAAATATTTTAATATTTAAATATAAATGAAACTTTGTGCTAAAGAATAAACAGCTTTGCTCTTTTGTGCAATAAACACTTTTATTATGTGATTTTTTTAAACAGTAAGTCTCTTACCTATTTAGCATTTATAAGCATATAAAAGCCTGGAGTAAATGATTTGTCGTTTTCCTTTGTAGCACTGATGGAAAGAGGCTGTTATGTAAACAGATTATGACATCTTAATTAAACACAGTTGCCAAATTGTAAAATCCAGTTTGTCTTCATTAGAGGATTTAAATGCTTTATATTAATTATTACATTAAACTACAATTTAATGTGTTTTAACAACGTATGAAATGCATGTATTAGCTGTGTGTGGGGCTCACAGGTAAAGGGTTTCTAATTAAAGCTTTAATCCTAGAATAGACATCAAAGAATGTCAAAGAGAAGAATTTAAATGTAGAGTTAAACCAAATTTCACTGTCGTCTGGGTGGAGGCCGAGCTCCTGAGTTTCTACAGAGCTTTGTTTTAATCTCTTACATAATGGATAGAAGACATGCTCGACTGCAGCTGCACTGTGCTCTGTAATCCGGGCATCTGGGTCAGACCCCTGAGAAAGAGCCCCATCTCCATCCAGCTCCACTGTTCGCTCGCAATTCAGTCCATGAACAATCGGGCCTTTAACGCAGCACAGAAAGCATTTTCAGAAAGCTCCATTTGATGACTGAAACGTAAACGAAGAGCAGATAAATGGCTAAAGATGCATCGTGTTTGCTTCACTGTGTTTGGACAGATTTATTCGTCACAGAGCGAATAATCAGTGTCAGACCTCTCAGCAATGTGTTCTCCCCTTTTTTTCTAATCTACCCAAATCAACCACATGGCTAATTAGTACGTAGCCTAGCTTTCCCCAGTTTACAGCCCTCACTAGTGCATTCGTTCTCCCCGTTTCCATTTCCCATCATCTTATGTGCTAACAGGAAGCAGCGCACAGAGTCAGGTCCATCTGCAGGGGTAAACAACACATGTATCAGCAGTGAAACACAAAGTGAGTATCCCTTTAAGCAGCAGATGTGGTGTGTGGAAAGTGACGTATTTGTAAAGTGAGATTAGTTCGTTTAGGATATTTTAGAGCTTTTAGCCATCTGATGCTTTAGAGGTGCTTTGCTTAGTTCTTTGGAGTGATGCATACAAAATTGGAGCTTTCAAAACTGTATCTATTGATCTGCAAGGAAGTGCGATACAAACAAGAGATAATTTAGTGTTTTAATTTTGTTTTCAACTGTAATCTCATAGTTATGGGTTTAAAATGTCATAATAAAGAGAGTTAGAGACTTTCCTGATCTAATGCCTCATAAATATTATTGTAATAACAATTCTAAAATTAGATAATTAAGAGATTATAAACAGAGTTTCATAATTAATCCCATAATGTTGATTTATTACAGAATTACAGAATTACAGCAGCATGACATAAATAACAATTAAGAGAAATCATAAAGAGTTCATTATTCTGATAAAGCTCTAGTGATAAAATCACAAGTTAAAATCACAAGTTAAAATCTCATAATGTGGATATTTAGAGGCTTTTCTAAGTTACATTACTGGATGTCAGTATCACAAAGTTGTTACAGATCTGGAGGTTTTTGTAATTTTATAGTAAAGTAAGTAGATCTTATTATAAACAGGGAAGATTGTTAATCTCTACATTAAATTATTGTTTCATAATTGGTAAATATTTAGATATTTAGAGTCAGTCTCCATTTATCTCTTAATTATTATTAAAAACATCTCATCATGACAAGAAAAGACATTCTCATAAAAACCAACTCCAGGATAGAATTTAGTAAAATACAATAGAGTTGTGCTTCTGATTATGATTTTCTAGACTCGGGTGTGTTGATTCACGTCGACGTACACAGCGTGAAGATTTTCCTTTTTGGTTGCAGCTCGTAGCAGAGACACCGTCCGAGTCCATAACGGGACAGATTTTAACATTTTGGCGGTGTCATCAAAGACGTGGTACGCCTCCAGGCGTTTTTTGGTTGCCTTGGTGACACATCCCCACTGTGTCTGGATGCTGCAGACATGAAACAACCTTCCCGTTAAAATTTGTTAGTGTCAAAATCTGAAAAACATAATTATCTAATTAAATTATCTAATTAATTTAATATAGTCTGATATCCTGTAAGTGGTGTACAGCAAAACAAGAGCACCAAATACGACCTAAACTGACTGCCAGACTTTTAGTTATTATAAATAATTCATTAATAAAACACAAACATTTTAGGCTATTGTTTTTATCTACTCTCCCAACACTGCTGATACTTGTGACTAACAAAATGGGGTAAACGTCTAGGCTATCTGGATTTTTGGTGATTTGCTGAAGTCTTTACATGAAGCAGATTGTATGTGAGGATGACCTGATGAACACACAAAAGTATAATCCAGGAAATATATGTCTAGTTTTCTAAACCGGACCTTAATATAATCCAAATCTGCCGTGTAGCCCTCAGTCAAGCTGAGGCTGGCGATGCTGTCTAAATGCATCGTTCCAGAAATAGTCTTCCTTTTTGGAAAATCGAGGCAGTAGCTCTGCTGTAGTTCAGTATTTATTGTTTTAAGGTGAGTAGACTGTGAATAAATGTGTTACCTCCTTAAACAGAGCCGACTGAAGACTTTTCATGGTTCTGGGTTTAAATGTCAGACTGCCGCTGATGCCTTTTAACCATTTTGAATTCTGCTTCACAGTTGACTTCTAAGCAGCGTGTGTGGTTGGTTTTTTCCAAGTTTCTGTCACGATTACCTCGGCTTTGACCTCCAGTTTACCTTTGATTTGCAGAGGATGAAGCAGCACTCAGTGAGAATGGGGTGAATTCTGTGTCTGAGCTCTCTCAGCCAGACAGCAGCCACTGTGATGACGAGGCGCAGCCCGGTACGCCCGCCTGCACTTCTGACATGAAGCCTGAGCTGCAGCTTAACCCGTGTTTTAGCTCTTATTTAGCATGGTTCAGTTTGTGTGCAAATCATCACTTGATTTATCTTCTTCATTTAGAGCTCTATTGAGAGAAACGCTCGTCTTGGTTTGCTGGTTTTCTTTTGCTCCCTAACTCTAAACTTTTATGATTCAAGTTTGAGTTTTCTTGCTAAAACCTTTTGATTTGCCTGATTCTACAGCGAGTTGTGTTGTTACCACACAGAGTGCAATAAGAGCCAGCGAACATGAACAGATCAGTGACTAACATGGAAAACAATGCCCCTCTGTGCCTGTACGATGTGGCCACAGTAGCGTCACTCCAGCCCGGGTCGAGCAGGCTTTGATCATAAATACTGAGACTGACAGCTTTTCCAAAGCGAAGTGAGGTGGGAAGTCATCGGGCTGAAAAACCTCCTTGATCTCTTTAACAGCTTCTGAAGCTGCTGACGTGTGGTAGTAAACACAACATTAGCCTGAGCTGTGTGAACCTGATGAAGTGTCAGATTAGACTTTAACAATTCCTGTTGATGTTTGACTGAGATCCATTTATCCAACAGCAGAGGCGCCTGCAGAGAAAGCAGGAGCTGAAGATACAGAGAGCACCGTGAGCAAAGACGAGGGGCAACTCGGTACGCCTCCAGACGCTGAGCTGCTGCCTCTTTTCTGCTGCTCGTGCTTCCTTTTGTTTCCCCAGCATCGTTAAAAGAATAGCTGGACATTTTGAGAAATACACTTACTCGATGAGATGTGCAGCTACAGCTGTTAGTTTAGCTTAGCTTAGCATGAGACTCCACTTGTTTACGTGGGTTATGTATGTAGTGGAAGCAGGAGGCCCCCTGACAAGTCCTGTAACACTCAGTTATTTATTAAAAGAAGGTTTTCTCATGTGAACTACAATTCAATTCAGTTTTATTTATATAGCACCAAATCACAACAACAGTTGCCTCAAGGTGCTTTATATTGTAAGGTAGACCCTAAAATAATACATACAGAGACCCCCTATGACAAGCACTTTGGTGACAGTGGGAAGGAAAAACTCCCTTTTAACAGGAAGAAACTTCCGGCTGAACCAGGCTCAGGGAGGGGCGGGGCCGTCTGCCGGTTGAGACTACAGAAGAGGTCGACTTCATTCACATTTGAAATGCTCACAAAATTTGAGGTTGAGTGCATGCAGGAGACCAAAGTTGGTATCCCATTTTGGGAAGAGGAAGAAAAAGGAGAATTCCATCGGAAATAGATACCAAATTGAAAATTCGGGGAGTTCTAATGAATTTATTAGTGGACTGACCTTCTGTCTCCACAGATATGCATTAAGAGACACGGCAGTAAAGCAAAGTTAAAATTATATGATTTTGCACCTATAACTATCATGTCAGCTAGTTGTCTCTGTTACCCATTATAACATACTGTAGCTCATTATATGCTAAGCTGGTTGACTGTAGCTAATATTGTCTTTATTTTGCGTGTACAGACGTGAGAACAGTGTTAGTGTTTCAGCCTGTTCTTCCCAGACCATTAAACACTCTGGTTATTCTCAGAAATTCCTCCAATGTTGTTAAGATTGTTGCAAGCTTCACTTTTTTCTGTGGATTTTGTTGTTCATATCCATTTTCTTTCGCTTTCACACATTGTTTGGTTAGTTGGTTAGTTTTAGGCACAAAAACTACTTGGTGAGGTTTAGAGAAGGATAATGATTTTGGTTAAAAGTCGCCCTGCTCAACCTTGCACGCTGTAAAATGACATAAAAGCTGATGGTGAGTCGTCACTGATGCCAGAGGAACCTATATGACTTCTTATTCTTAGATAACTCTCACAGAAGAAAGTTGATAAGTGTATTTTTCAAAGTGACCAAAGCTTCCTGCTGCTGCTCTGTATGTTTGTGCGTTTCTTTCAGCATCTTCACTGGAAAACAGAGTTTCTGGGTTTCTGTTTTGGCTTTGCTTTTTTCTTCCGATGCTTACTTTCAGACGGTTATATATGCGGCCCCTTCCAGAACTGCAACATGATCGTAAGAAGGCTCGAGAGGCAAACATGTCCCCCTTTTTTTAAACAAAAAGATGGTTACATCCTGGCTATTTCAGAATGAAAGGAACGTCCAGACCACAGGCAGATTTAAGAGTCCTGTGATCTGTTAAACAGATGCACGGTTGCGGGGAAAGCCAGGGTAATGTTAAAAACAGCTCAAGTACCACACAGAGCAGCGTTCAGTGTGGTACTGCTGCACGAGGCAAGAAAATAAAAGCCTGCTTATCCATCTTTATGATTTTGAATGATGTCTTTATCTAACCTGTATTTGCTGTGGGCTTTCTGCTTTGACTGAAGACTCGCTGTATGCAAGCTTTTATTGATTCGTTTGCACCGGGTGGGTGTATTAATCACACACGAGTGACAGAGAGCCATTACTGACTGAGCTCTCTATCTTTTCCATCTGTCTCATTATGTTCCATCAGCAGCAGGAGCGTCTTCAACAGGTAGGCTGTTGTATGTTTTATTGATTGCACGTAGACAGTATTTATTTACTGCAGGAGATAGATATGAATGAGCCTAGGTGCAATGAAAGCAACCTCAGAGAGGAAGCAGCTGAGCACTCTGTTGTGTTTTAGTATGTTCCATATAGTGTTAAATTAAACGGATCCTCTATTCTATACAGTTGTTGTCAGAAGTTTACAGACACGCATGAATATTGTGGTAATTTTGGGCTTTTAATGATTCCTTCAAACTGTTTTTTCTCCAGGGTTCAATGATTGTGCAACATACATCTTTGTTGACTTTAAAAAACAAAAACAAATAAAGTTTTTTTGATTTTCTCTAAGCCACACATGGTCAAAATGATAGGTTCACTCCCACTAATATCAGTTTAAATGTCCCTTAGCGAGTTGCAACTCGGCCGGATGTTTTTTGTATCCATCAACAAGCCTGTTGGCATAATTCTGTCTGGACATTTGCCCGCTGTTCATGGCAGAATCAGTGGAATTAATTTAAAGTGGTTGGTTTCCTGGCACATACTCGACTTTTAATCGTAATCCACAAATTTTCAAATCAAAGCGTTGAGGTCGGTGCTTTGGGGAGGCCATTAGTTTCTACGTGTATAGTCTTTGTTGTAGGGTTTTTACCTTACAGTATAAATCACCTTGAGACAACCTTGTTTGTGATTTGGTGCTATATAAATACAATTGAACTGAATAGTCCTTCTTCTTCATTATTCCATCCACTTTGTTTGATGGCACCACCACCATGACAGACCTGACCCACATGACTCACCTGTGCTCCAAACATCATGGTGACCAAACAGCTCAGTCTTTGTCTCGCCTGGTCATCAGGCTTTTCTCCAGAAGGCATTTGGCTTGTCCGTAAAGGGGAAGTCTCAAATTTCAGTCAAGCTTGAAGGTGTTGGTGTTGGAGCATTGGATTTTGGATTTTTGGAGGGCTTTCTTGTTTTGGCATCTTCTCAATCCCTGAAGATGTAAACCTTGCTTCACTGTGATCAGCCATGCTGGTGTTCAGGCAGTTTCATGGCAGGCTTGAGCCTTGGTGGTTGTTCCTGAACATCCTAACCAGTTTACTCTCATCTGACGATGACAGTTTGGGTCTTCCTCGGCAAAGCAGTGACAGAATAACTTTTACTTTCATGCAGTTTTTCAAACTGCTGATCTTAAAACTGCAGTTTTTTAGAAATGGCTCCAAGAACCTTTCTAACTTCCAAATGCTGCAAAGAAGAACTACCAGCTCTAATCAATCACAGTCACTAATGAGAAGTTAATGGACCTCTGCTTTGCCAAGTTAGAACCTTCAACACCATTAATTCAAAGATTTAAGTGGATGTATGTATATATCTGAGCCTGTGTCTACAATTTCATATTTTTAATATATTCAAACTCGTGTTACCCAAGTCCTTAAACATGTATGTTGTACAATCATTCCACCTCTGGAAAAAAAAACAGTTCAAGGAAATAATTATAAGGCTGAAATCACCACAGCATCCATGTCTGCATATGTAAACCTCTGACCACAGTTTCTGATTTTCCTGCTACTATATTAAAGAGTCTGGAGTGTTCCACCTGAATTCAGATGTAATCAGTCACTTCAGTTTGTTTAAATGGTAAAACACGCACATCTTTAAAATTTCTGCATCAGTTTCCTTTAATGATGCGTTTATGGATTAAAGGTTAAAAACACCACCTTCTCCTCTCGGCTGATTCCTGTAAGGGTCGGCAGATCATCTGCCTCCATCTAAACATTACACCAAGCATCATTTAAAAGTTCAAAACAACAAACTTGCGCAATATGTAAATATAATAATTTTATAATAATTTAGCACAAGTTATTATTTTTTCATTATTTTATTTTTAGAGTATTTCTATAGTTTTAAAACAGCACTAACCCTCACCCATTACGGTAACAATAAGAAACAATAAAGCACTTTTTTATAATTATTATTCAGTTTTTACATTTTTTATATTTTCTATATTTTTTTAGATTTTAGCATCTGCAGTTTTCAATTTGAGATTCCTGGAATTGAACATTATTTTCAGTTTAAAGGGAAAATGTGTTATAACGAATAGTTTTTCTGATATTGACCGTTTGACCAGATACTGTAAACGTAGTCCTGACACGTCGGTGTACACGGATAGCCTCCGTATTGTATCAAAGTCGAAGGAATTTATGACGTTTTTGGCTAATTCAGCTGAAGGACTGATGAGTATTTGTCACGAAACTTGCGCACAGTGATCGCCTAGTGCGTCTTCCCTCAAACTGTCCTCGGGCTCAAGGTCACTGTGAAGGTTGACCGACTGGTGGAGGCAGAAATAAATATTTATTCCTTTCTTCACAACCGTGGCTCAGTGTGTTGGATGCAGTGCAGCCAACTAAAGAAAAATCAAACTAGAAAAAGAAAAATGTCAAATCTTCAACTTAAACATGATCCTGTAAATGAAACTGAATAGAAACAGCTCTGCACTGGGCTAAACCTGCTTTAACAACGGTCCCTGATAATAAAGACTGTGGTCTGCTCTGCATCATGACCTGGCATCCCTGAATCCAGTGGCTCATACTACTACTTAAAATAACAATTAAATACAAATCAAATAAGTTAACGGATAATTCTATATGTTTAAGGAAAAATAAATTTATTGATTAATAATACGTGTATTTAACTACATAACTGTTTAAGGTTTTTATCATTTAATGTCAGGATGTGGAAATTTGCTTCTTTGTGTGATCATTTAATTATTCGTTTTTGCATAACTGTACGATATTAATGTCCAAATATATTCTTGTGAAACACTCCAGACTCGTGTGTGTACTTAGAGGTCCGTTGTGGGGTGGGATACGTTATTTTTGCACTGCTAGAGTCGGCTCAGAAAGGCTTTACATCACATTTTAATCACGTATTCTGTAACAGCATAAATCACTGGTCTGTGTGTTGTGTTCACTGGAATGCATCATCTCTCCGTCTGACACCCAACTGTGATGCATTATTTTTTATTTTGTTTTCATGTGAACTCACACTTTTCCACCTTTAATCACTTCTGGGTTTGTTGTGTTGCATCATCACCGCTCACAGCTCTCTGAGTGTCTGGTGTTTGTTTTGGGTAATCAAACAGTCTTTTATTTTCCTTCATCACTTCTCCACTTTCTTTTTTTTTTTGTTTCATTGGGGAGATGGATAACAAGTGCTGCTGTGAATGTCACCATTAATCTGCTTTCCAAACAAATTAGCGAGGCCTGGTTCTGGAGTCCGTGGTGAGTTTGGATTTGCAGAGTCCGATCTGCACGGAGACGCTGGGAAGGGCGTTGACTTCATGGGAGCTTCCTGCTCTCTGGACCCAGGAAGCAAAGCAGTGGGAGAGTGTGGGAAGAGGCTAAGTGAGTCTTCGTGGGTCTCTGAAGACCTCAGCTGCGGGGCAGAGATTAAACGGGACATGCAGGCCAGCAGGGGGAGCCCTGAGTGGGCAGGAGCTGCAGATCCTCAGAGGGCCATCAGTCTCGACGCCTCCGAGTGCCTCAGTGAAATGAGCAACCTCTCTGGAATGTCTTTAGTCCGCAGCACGGCTTTGGAGGACTTGACATCCATTGGGGACAGAAACTTGTGTGTTCCTCAGGGCGAGGAGCTCATTTCTGAAGAAACAAACGATGGACTGACTGCTGAAGGAGCAGCTCCGAAGCCCCTCGGTGACTCCGGAAGCAAAAATATCACGTTAGAAACACCCCGGGCTCCTCATACGCAAAGTGCGCTCCAGTCTAGCTCCGATTGTGAAGACCTTTCCAAGAAGCAGCGCCTTTTTAACAAATTGCCATCTGACACGGCAGCTGAAAACAGCGGTGACTCATCGTTACATACAGCCAGCTATTCAAAGCCTGACATTTCTAATGACTCAGAGATGAGGAGCAGTGTGGCTCAGACCACCGGCACCGCTGAGCTCCAGAAAACGCCCCCCCAAAGCACCCGAGCCAGAAAGTCTTTGGTGCCGGTCGCTGTTTTCAAAGGTCTGTGTGCTGTCATGTTCACCAGTTCAGAACCAGTCCTCTTCAGTTCACTCCTTCCACTCCTTTGATTTCCAACGCAGCTTCTGCTCTGTGTTATGCAGCACTCTCCCTCCGAAGTGTTTCTATGGACGTTAACTTTGACCCGAGGAGAAGCTTGTCGTCCTCCCTCCCCCCACTTTAGCTTTTTTCTTTCATCTCTCCATCTCTGCTCACTTTGCTGGTTATGCAGCCCTAAAAAAAAGCCACCTTTTTGTTTTATGTGTTTTCTTGCATGCTGCATACCCAACATCACTCATTTCACTTTCCATGAGAATGCATTCTGGCACGCTCATGGAAGCAAAAGTCTTAACTTATTGCACTTGGGTGGATATGAAAAAATAATATAGATATTAAGCTTTTTAAAACAGGTGCCAAAAGCTAAAGTTTGCTTCTATTTCTTTTCTATAGCTCAAGGAGTGATGGATAACGGAGATAAGGTACGTCACCAACGGCATTTTTTAGGTTCAGTCGCTCATTTCTTTACGCCTTTTAGTTGTTGTGAAATATTCTGGTTTATTAAAACCTTTGGTTTTATTTTCTTTAGCTAACAAACACGACATATTATTACCCATGTCTATCACATATATTCAGCATTTAACTGAACTCCTTCCAGCGACAGTGTTGAGCTCTCAGTAATTACTGTTTTATTATCAGACTAAGAAAATACTTTAGCTCAAACTGGAGCACAAACACTGCAAACTATAATATTTATATATTATATAATCCCATCAAAATGCTGCAAAAGCACCAATATCAAAAACCTGCTGGACTCCAATTAGTGGAGGTGATTCATAATAAGCAGCTAGCAGCTACACCTGCCTGTGTTGGACATTTTAACATGCAAGTCTACGGAGATTCACTCACATTTGGAGCAAGTCTCAAGTGGCCACAGGAGGAATTACAGTTTTTAGGCACTGGCCTCATTTCCCAGGATGATGCCTCTCGACTTGAACCAACGACTCTATTGGTTCATGCACCTGCCTGATTTGCCCAATAGCACACCCCCTTGAACTTCCAAGTATAATAATAAGAATAAATTGGATTGGACGCCCTATCTAAACAGCAGGGAGGTGGGGCTTCTGTGCCTGAGATGACCATATTAGGATTATCCCCTCTCTTGGCACTACACGTGTTTGTGTAAAAACAAGATCCAAGTTATAATAAACCAGAACATTTTATTCACTTCATAAAAAAAAAAAATCCTTTATTTTTATCATCTTTCAGTTATTTTTAATCATTCTTTTGTTTTGTGGTCATTGTCATTGGACCTTTTGTTTTTCATTCATTTCTTCCTCTTCATGAAAAAGACTCAAACTGCCACCACACCGACCTCTTCCCCTCAAAGACCGTCCATAACCGCCAAGGGCGCCAAATCACCCGCATCCTCCCGAAATGGCCACAGCTCGATCCCCATTAAAGTCAGCAGCACAGGGCCCAGGCAGCCTGGAGTAAGTACAGGTCTGAATGCAGCTTAGAGCTCAGACGTGAGCCGACTGACTCGCTCAGTTTTCTTCACACTCGCTGACTGAATCTTGTTTGAAACGGTCAAAGAAAAACATGGACTGGAACCTGATTCCTCCCTCTATTATCACCAAACATTATATGAAGAAACGACTCATCAATTCCTCACTGATTAGTGTGCAATGTTACTGCATTCAACCATCTCCAAGACGTCTCTTTGCTGGAAACTAAAATAGTGTTGTGGTGACTTTCAGAGCGGTGCAAAGTCTCAGACTCCAGGGGCCAAAACTTCTGCCAGAACTGCAGCTCAACCAGGTACGAGCCGAGGACTTTGTGCTAAACTCAACTTTTATTTTACTGATTTTAGTATGGAAGCCTAAAGCGGACTTAGCCATATCATTTAAACCTGAAACATGCTCATTTTTACAGCAAATGCGTTTGGCTGTAAATGTACTTTTAGTTTGCAGACTGTGATTGCCCTTTTCAGTTAAATATTTCGGTAATTTCTTTATGCAGAGAGTCAATATTCACAGTGTTGACCCTTCTTATTCACACCTTCTGTAATTCTCTGCTGGATATCAGCTTCTGGGCCAAATCCTGATTGATCGAGATCCATCCATCTGGAAAATATGTGTTCGCCGACTGGCTGGGAGTGGTTGTTAGAGGTTCCTAGTGGTAGTTGCTTTGGTTGCTTGCAGGTTGCTGCAGTCACTTGTAGTCCCTGATAGACACCGAGCTGTCTGCAACGCAGGCCGTGCTGTAGTGCTTGTGCCTCACCATCTCAGAAGGTACAAGCAGGTTGTAAGTACCTCACAACTCCCTGCAACCTCCAGCAACCACATGCAAACCAGCTGGTAGAGGTCGCTGACCAGTCTCTGTGTGACTGGATCTGTGGTTAGGAAACTGCCCACATCTAACCAAGAATCAGTGGACTCTTTGCATAAATGTGATTTATGTACCAGTAGAAATGTCATTATTCTTTACTAAATCACAGAAACAGGCATGAAATAATCTCCCCCCAAAATCCAAAAGCAACAAAGTGAATGAAAAACAGAAATTGTGTCGGTGGCTAAACAGCTGTGCAGAGAAACTCTTCAAAGAAAGAATGGCGCCTAACGGGTAAAACAATGATTTAGTCTGCTCTTAAAGCTCATTTTTAAATTTTTACTTTAATATAGGCTTCCGTATTTTTGGAGTATGCGGTAATGATGTGTTATATTTTCTGTGATCTAGCTCGTGCCGACAAATCCCTCACTCCAAAAAATGAAAAAGGTAAAAAAAATCAAATCAAATAAAGCAAATGATTAGAAATCGCTTCCAGCCTTGCATGGCCACAATAACACGGTCTGATCTGCTGTTTCTGGATCAAACTCGGTCAGCTTTTAGCCAGTAGAGCTCCTAGTATGCTTTATTTTTTTATTATTTTTTAATGATTTCTTCTACATGCATGACTCATCACACTCCTCCTAACTTATAATTTCTCTGGTTCCTCTAGATGCCAGGAGTGGACAGAGCAGCCCCGGCACTCCCAAATCCCCCGGTAGCCAATCAAATTCTGCAAAGTCAGGGGCCGATGCCAACAAAGTGAAGAAGGTGGCTGTGGTTCGCTCCACCCCCAAATCCCCGGGCTCGCTGAAGAGCCGTCCACCGGCTCCTCTGGCTGCCGCGGCGCCGCTGCCAGACCTGAAGAACGTCAGGTCCAAGATCGGCTCCACAGAAAACATCAAGCATCAGCCCGGAGGGGGAAAGGTAACCCGGGAAATACTCTGAATACACCCCCTCACAGAACACTGCCCACTGAGTTTGCAGATCAGAGTTTTAACATTCACGTGACCGAGTGGAGTCGTCTACGATCCAGGCGTATATTTCTATGTGCCAATGTGGGTTTTTAATCATAAAACCTTTTCCTGCCACAAATGTGTCCCTCTGTTTCTGCAGCGTTTCATTTTGGCCTATTAGTGTATCATGGATAGCCTCAAAGCTGTTTTTAACATCATTTCTTCCTCTTTTAATCGTGACTAACCGTGGCTAACAAACCGAGAGCCTCGAGAGTCGTTCCAGTTATAAAAACGATCAAATCTGAGACAAAGTTCCTCAGAATCAGCTGATATTTCTGCACAATAACGTGATGAAACCAGGCAGGAAGTTCAGGTTTTATCCAGGTTTCAGGTCTGAGAAGCACCTCTTTAAAACTGCAAATCAGTTTTGTGTAACATCTGATGACCCCACTCGGTCATTTTACATGCTTGAGTTTTAATACCAACACAGAAGGCCCTGAACCCTTTGTTGTTCCTTCCACCTACCATTTCCCTGTCATGTCTGTTTCCAGAGTGGATTTGCTCATTTAGTTTTTTACTTGCTCCATTGTTACTTTTATTATTACATATAGGGCATTATTTCAGGGGCCGGCACCTATGAAGAGAATGAAGAGCACACAGATTAACTAGTTCGTTTAACTTGAAGAGAAGAGCACAGACAGGTGAGGGAGACAGGTGTAACAGTGAAGATGTAAGGAGGATGTAGTGAAGGTAAGTGGGAAAAGAGGATGCTGGGATGAGGCAGGTGGTCTGTGTGGTGACCCTAAAAAGAGGAACCGAAAGAAGAAGACTAGATGATGATGATTTGTCAGGGTGAGATTTCAGAAGTTCAGGTGTTACTATACAAACACAAGTCAGGCAGCTGACTCACAATAATCCACACACCTCAGGTCTCAACAGACAAATACACTAAAGATTATTTTAATCAAGTTAGTTTTGATAAGGACACAATGTAACCTTTTAAAAAAAAGATCTTTTATTATTATTGTTATTTTTTTATTTCAATATTATTTAGCTCTAATCTTCCCGGGGCAGCCGTGTCTCTAAGAAATGTTTGTGGAAGTAAAACTCCAGTCTGCAGCTCAGTGTGTCGAGTGTAGTCTGCAGTGTGTGTGTGTGTGTGTGTGTGTGTGTGTGTGTGTGTGTGACGCTAGAGGTTTATTTTAGCTAAAGCCATGCAGGTCGTTGGTCTAATTTTATTCAGGGTGCAGTCACGTGTCCGATGTTTTACTGATGAAACTCAAAAGTATCACGTGTTGTGATATTTATGGACCAAAATAAATAATTCAGCTCCATTCAGAGTTCAAACTAGAAAGTTTTTATTCTGGTAGATGATAGAAGAGCTGAAAAATCAGTCTTTGGTTCCTGCCAGTGTTGGACAAGTAAAGAAATGAGAAGAAGTGAAGACCAATGCACACTTTGAATTATCGACTCTCACCAACCCCGCATGCGGTCACACTCCCGCACGAGTTTCTTCCCACTTCTTTAATCAAATCAAGCCATCGTCTAAACTCTAAATCTAAAAGCTGACATTTTCACTTTTCCAGGTACAAATCCTTGATCAGAAGTTGGACTTTAGTAATGTGCTGTCTAAGTGTGGCTCCAAAGACAATATCAAACATGTACCCGGTGGCGGCAATGTGAGTAACTGGGGGATGAACTCAACTCCAGACTCTTGAGTATCTCTGCAGTTATGACCATCAGAAACTAACTCCTGGTAAAAGCAAAGTGCTCTCCTCTAATGATCCGATCAGAAGGTGGACTGGATGTGGAAACACAATCTGCTCAATAATCCGTAATTGGCATGGACCGCATATAAAAGATGGATGTAGCCACTGTGGCATCACTCACCCTGGTAGGCTGAGTCCCGTTTAACAGCTTCCAGCTGTTTGTTTTGGTCTTTGACGCCTTAGTTTTGGCTGAGAAACTGAGGTATGCAACGCAGCAGCGTCTTCCAGATCACAGGGAAGGACAGCCCTAGACGTAGCCACCAGTATAATCACGAGCTTTCTCTTCCAGTAACTGCTACTGGACTTGGTTGACAGTCCCAGAGGTATATGGTGCTGCACTGGAAACCACCTTTTTATTGCTTTGGCCATTAACAGATTGTCACCCATAGTTAGCATGAAAGACGGCAACTTGTCTGCACCAACCAGAAATGTTTTACCTTCAGAGTAAAAGTTGTCCTGCTGCTGCAACCAGCGTGTTTCAAAAGGCACAACTTTTATTTTGAAACGGTTTGTGATGCAATTTTTCAAGTTTCACGACGGCTCCACAAACAGACGAGTCGGCTTCTACTGTGCAAACTGTGGGTGACTGCGGCGGTCTGCTAGCAACTAAAGCAATAACAAGGAGGTTGTGGGTGCAGAACCTTTTTTGCATCAGCCAGGAACCAGTTGGTGAATACACAGTTTTCTGTAACAACCAGGTGGTTGCCGGGTGGTTGCCAACTAGTCTCTACGCCTGTAAGACAGACCTAACAGACCAATCAGACTGTATTAACAGACTGACGATGCTTTATGGCAAAATAAGCTCAAATCTAAGAAAACAAATAAATTAAAAAAAATACGAAAAATAGCTGTTGAGTCCATTCAGTCGTAAGAATTGAGTTGCTACCACGTGACTGGCTAATTAGTTATTGCATTATGAGCAGAAGGACAGGTGTACCTAACAAAAACTGCTTTTGGCTACTACAGGAGTCGCCCTCTGCTGGACACAGAAAGAATGCAGGTTTAATTCAGTTCACTGTTCAGACCCAGAAGCTACATCCATCATTTATATACAGTCTATGTACATAAGACTGAAGTTTTTATACGATTTTAATTCTTTCACTGAAAACTGGTGATGTACTGAGCTAAAGCTGGCATCTTTAACATTAAACTGATTATTGATTTGCTTTTAACACAGAAAAAAAACACTGTTATATGGTTCTGATATTTAACAAATAGCTCTGTCTGTCCCAGTTAACATTAACACAGCTAGAGCCTCCTCGAGTTGGTTATGTTGACAAATTTGAGCAATTTTTAAAAAAAAAATTAATACAATTTTTAGTATTTCTTTTTCATTTAAGTAATTTTGTGAGTGCAGCGTATTTCCTTAGTTGCTTTTTGTTTTTTATTCATGTTTCTGTTTCTAAAGAGATTTTTTTTACACTTAATTAAGTTTTAATTAACTTTAATATCCTTGCTAAAACAAATGTTTGAAACTCTGCAGCTGCATTAAAACATCGCTATTTTTGCAATCTGCTCCGCTAAAGTCGTCAGAAAACTGACGACTTCCTCCAAACGTGACAAATATGCAGAGTTACAGATGGCAGCTTTAACGCCGAGATCTCTTTCACCATCTCACTTCCTCCTTTCGGGCTGATTCTCTCCCCCAGCTGTTCTCCTTTTATTTCCTGAAGAATTTACTTGTTTTTTGTCTTGTTGCAGGTCAAAATCCTCGAGAAGAAGCTGGACTTAAGTAACGTCCAAGCTCGCTGCGGTTCTAAAGACAACCTAAAGCACACGCCTGGTGGAGGCAAGGTGAGAGAGACTGTAGCTTTAAAAGAAGTCCCACTAATTCCACAAAGGCACAAGCAAAGGGATTATTCACAAAGCCTGTTGCATCATTTACAAGTGCAGTTCAGCTTGTTTTACAAAAAAAAGCAACTTCCTGTCATTACGGTAGCGCCATTCTATGAAAATCAGCAGGTACCTCACACCTGACCTCATCAGAATCAACTGATTATGCACTGAAAATGTCACATGGACCCAAATACGCCAGGCTCCCCCTGCAGCCTCGCTGCTCTGTGACTCAAAGGGTTAACAGTCTCCCCCTCACCTGTGCACTTCTCCATCCAGACTGAAGGATTTCAGAGGTTTTCAGAGTCTGACGTGACTAAATCTACAACTTTATCAGTTCAAGTTCAAATTCAAGCACATCCTCTCAATAAAAAGAGGAAATGTTGAATCCATTTTTACAAATTCTGTAAAAAGAGCCGTCGTGGTAAATAATCTCGATCTTTTCCAAAGTACCTGTGATTATGATGCCAGAGATGGTGAGCGACATCCTCCACACCGTTACACCACCTCGTCCATCCTCAACCGTTCATGAGAGGCAGGATGGATCCGTGCTTTCGTGGGGTTTATGCCACATTCTGACCCTACCATCTGAATGTCGCAGCAGAGACTTCGGTCTTCTCTTGTCTAATTACTGTGCATCTGCCTCAAGGTTTGACGTGTTGTGCATTTAGAGTTCTCTGTGAACCCACAGATGGATGTGTGGGGAAAAGATGAACAGATTCTCAAATACTCCGCTAGCACCAACAACCACACCATGTTCAAAGTCCCTTAAATCACCTTTATTCCCCCCAGACTGATGGCCTTTAGCGGGTCTTTCACCATGTCTACATGCCTCAATGCATCAGGTTGCTGTCATGTGATTGGTTTTACTTCCTCCCTGTCTCGTTATGTCGGATTAGTCCCAGCTGTGTTTCCCTCCTGTTTCCCATTCCCTTGTTACTCCCTTGTGTATTTAAGCCCTGTGTTGTCCTCTCTTTGCTGTGTGTTTCCTCCGTGCTCCTGGTTTTCTAGCCTCCCAATGTTGACGGCTTAGTTTCCAGTTTCTATCTTCAAGTTTGGGTTTGTTTTCCATTTATTTTATGGATTATTTTTCCCAGGAAATAAAGCTGCTGCTTTGAGTCCGGTTTTCCGTCTGAGAGTCGTTTGGTTCTAACCGAACCTGCCACACAGCATCAAACCATGACGGATACCTGCAGTGAGGAGCAGTTGAAGATTTATCTAAAAAAGTATCTGATGAGTGTTTAATGTCATATTCTTGCATTTATAACTGGTGCTGTCATCTCTCTGTGTATTTATCGATCTCTAATGAAAAGTCTCAACCCTGTACGGTCAAAGTCATCACAGGATTACCTTCAACTTTTTTCTGATTGTTTCATTTTTTTCAGTTAAGTGAAAATGAAATTAAAACCAGTTTTACTGCAGGTTAGAGTTGGAGTCATCTCCGATGATGACTTGGCCCTCAGAGGTCTAACTTGATGGTTGCCCCTGTACAGTTTGAAAACCTCTGAAATGCTTCACCTGATTGTAATGGCTTCAAAGCACCAGAGCGGCGATGTGGGGACATCTCCTCACGAGGGTTTCGGTCAGCTCTCACTCCCCCGAGCCTCAAGCTCGTCCCTCCAACATCTAATCTTCCTCTCCAGTAATCGTCTTCATTCGCAGCTCTTTGCTTTCGCCGCCATAACTGTTTTTTTCACCCCCATGTATCAACTTTCCAGGTGCAAATTCTCGATAAGAAGTTGGACTTGAGCAGTGTGCAGTCCCGGTGTGGCTCCAAAGATAATATAAAACATGTACCCGGTGGTGGCAATGTGAGTAGAGGTGTGCTTCCACTGAACGCATCCTCAGAAAGGAGCACAGATCCTCCCGTCTGTGTCTAGCCTTTCTGACCTCCCAAACGCTGACCTGCCAACTTCTCCCATTAACAGTTTTACTGAACTCGTGAACAGATCTGAGCATTTCATACTAGAACAGCACTAAACCGCCCTCCCAGTGCTTTTCTTTCACTGGTTTAGATGCTCCGTAGTTTCTAAATCAGTCTTCTTAGTTTAGTGGATCTACCGTGTTATGCAATGCTCTGCGTCTCACGTAAGCCCGATAACTCTGTTGAGTCTTTGCCCTCAAATCTGTCCCTGAAGCCACACGCATGAATCCTGTTTGTGGACGTTTTTATTTCCTAAAACCTTGATGTGAAGTGAACTAATTGTCCCCTCAAAGTGTCCCGATCGGGTAACAAAGAGTCCTGCTGTCCTCGGCTTCTCCACCAAACAGTGCCTGTTGTCGTCCACGCTGAGGTGACCTCAGCTCGCAGAGAGACTGAGCGCTCTGTGTTTGCAGACAAACAGCCAAGAGTGACTTCATCTATCCATGCATGGTGATGCATGGCTGCTGAAATCTGGCTTTTATCAGTTAGTGCAGAAGATGGTCGCTCGTTTTTCTGCACTGGGGTAAGGTCGCACCGCTCAGATTAAAACTTTAAGTGTTAATCCAGTGTGTTAGTCGGTGCTGTTAATCTGTGTTTCCTTCCATAACCCGGTTCCAGAAAGCAGGTTTTTATAGTCAAGTCTGTCGTAAATGTAAGGAGAAAGACAGAAATCACAGATTTATTATTAATACATATTTAAAAAATGATTGGTCATCGTGCAACAAGTGAAACCTTAAATTTAAAGACTTCACACAATCCCCCATAAATCATCATCTGATTTCATTGACTGACTGAGTCGCTCTTATCTAAAAACAAAGGTGTTGATTCACTAAAAGCTCCCACGTTTAGAGACAGAGCTCCAACGCGACTTTAAAGTACGACTCAGAGACCGTTAAACCTGCTTTCAGGAACAGTTTCACTAACAGGCCGGTTTTATAGGATCAATTCCTCTGTGGCTGCATGCAGGGCGACTTCAGAGCTGCTGACTCTGCTGGTCTGCATTCAAACTCTGTGCTGTTTTTTTTCCTCTCAGATTCAAATCGTGCACAAAAAGATCGATCTGAGCAACGTGACATCTAAGTGTGGCTCGAAGGACAACATTCGTCACAAGCCGGGTAAAACATTATTCCAACTTTCTGCTTAATTTTAGGTGACGAGCTTTTGTGAACAGAGTACATAACGACAATATAATTAGTAGCAGAAGTCTCCTCCACCTTCAGTGTAACTGCAATACCACACGTAGTAATTTATGTCCATGCCTCTGCTCTGAATACCATGAAAAGCATTAACCTAAGAAGCTGGGGTGGAGGTGGGTTGCAAAGCGGCTTGGAGAGCCGAACGGCAAACACTCAGTCTGCCTTTTTTATTTTCGGATGGGTGGGAACAGTCAGCTGGTCACTGCTTGAAGGTCTCAGGCAGCTGTGATTATTTCAGTAAAACATTTTTTAATGATGGTTTTCTTAATATTAACAAAAACTGGTTAAACTTGTGTAGCTCTGATTGTTTGATTTTAAAAGCAGGAAATGTACTGATGCTGGTTCTTACACTAAGTACCAGTACAAGTTCTTCCACTTCTGTAATAATGGTGCTGCACTCAGATTATAATTTTTTTTTTAGGTGGTGGAAACATTGAGATCAAAAACGAGAAGCTGGAGTTTAAAGTTCAGTCCAAAGTGGGCTCTCTGGGCAACATCAGCCACACTCCTGGAGGCGGGCAGAAGAAGGTGAAGTAAAAATCCACCGACGTGCTCTCTGCAGGCTAAAAGCAAAACGCTCAGGGCACCGTGGCGCTTCGTCACAGTTCTGTATGGAGACCAATCCGTGCCAAGAAAAAAATCGGAAAACAAACATTTTGATCTTCACTACATTCAAATTTCTACAAGCCTTTCCTCTTATTCCTCTTACAAGTTAAACATCAGATTTTTTGTATTTATTTGTTTACTGCTAATGCAGTTTAAGAGTAAGATAAAAAAAAAAAGAGACATAAAATTTGCAGCTAAAAACTTCAAAAGCATCATATTTACTAATGAAAAAAAAATAAATTAAAATTCTAGAACTGAAAGTACATAGACAATATACACATATAATTAAAATTCAATTTAAATTAACTAAAGTTTGGCACCATTTGGCCTCAAGCATGTTTCAGTGCTCGGCTCTCTTCTTCGGAAAACCAGCTTTCAGCTCTTCTGCGTCTCTGTGGGTGAAACTCACTCAGCAACACAGAAACAGCAAAACTAAAACCAGCGAGAACATTTCAGCTGATCTCGAACAGCCACGCTGACGTTCGTGAGGGTGTCACACACACAGCAGCTTTTAGAGCTTTTTTTTTTCTTGGTTTTTCTGCTTTTTCCCTCCTTTGTTCAAGCTTCCATTTTCTTCATCCTGCTGATTTTCCCTTCATTTTAAAGTTTTCGCTGTCGTTCTTGTCAAATTTCACTGTTGTGACAGCGTTTCGGGGTCACTGGAACTAAAAGTTTACAGGGGAAAAAAGGCAATTTAAAGAGATAAAGTTAGCAAAATTTATGTGAAAAAACTGGCAATGTATGAGAAAAACAGTGAATAATTTAATAATAATAAATTTGTTTGTTTCTTTCTTGTAATTTTATCACAATTTTCTCATATATTCATCAGATTTTTCTAATAAATTTCAGTTTTTCTAATTTTACCAATTTTCTCCTTTAAAATGTCTTTTTTAATCTCAGAAATTTTGTCTTTTTCTTGTAAAATAATTTAAAATTCTTCAAACTTTAAAATTCTGATTATATTCTCTGAATTTGACTCCTCCCCCAAGCTCCTCACATTTTTTTTATTTGTATTTTTTTTTTTTTTTTTTACCTTCAGCGGCCCTGAGACGCTGTGCTGCATTTTCTCATCAATTGTTTTGCTTTATTTTATTTATTTTTCATTTCTGTTGAAACCATCACATGTATTTTTGTTGCATGCCTTTTTATTTCCTTGCTGGGGCTCCTCTGTAGAGGGAGAAGGGGAAAGACGGAGAGGGGAGCACCTCAGACAGCCCCTCGGTCCTCTCCCCCGCTGTCACCCCCCCTCAGTCACCTCCGACTGTCCCTTCAGCACCCATCACACCCATCCTGACGAACCCTCTCATAAAGATTGAGGACTCTTGTAAGTACCTACAAGCTGCTTCATCTCAGACTCTCAGACATGAGACATGACGTGGATAGTGCTGATTATGAGTTTTCAGGATCTGAGGCCTGTGCTGTGAAGCTAACCTAACAAGAGGTCATTCACACAGCCAGAAACCTCCTGCAACCGCTCTGCAACCATCGACCGGAGGTGGCTCGCTGGTTGCTGACCGGTTTCCTTTAACATTTAAAGAAATGTTATGAACATGGAAGCTGTAAACGTCTTTATTTCTGTTGCATGCATGCAAACTGTACCTCATGTGCACACAGTTTTGATGGTTTTGAGTAAACAGCTGAGGGCAAATCATAACGCAGGAAATTAAAAGATTACGTAGTGCAGGACTATCATTAGTCCTTAAAAATCAGAAAAATCCAGGCCATGGCTGATCTGATGTCTGACCTTCACCTCCGATCTCGCCACAGATTGAGAGCCACAAACTGAACTTCCGCGAGACAGCCAAGGCCCGCACTGACCACGGCGCCGAGATAGTCTCCTTGGAAGACTCCCCTCACCAGCTCAGCACCGTGTCCTCCTCTGGCAGCATCAACATGACCGACTCTCCACAGCTCTCCACGCTGGCTGACCAGGTGTCCGCCTCCCTGGCCAAACAAGGCTTGTGAACGCGCTCGCCGCACTCCCCGCCTCGACCGCACGACCACGTAGAGGAGTTGTAATGCCTTCCTCGTTACTTTCACAGGACTTTTATTTGATTTTTTTAGCTGCCCGTCACTGTTTATCCTCCACTAACCTTTGAATCTCGTCGAGGCGTTGCTATTAGAGGTCTTAAAAAAGAAAACAGATTAACCAGTAGGCCAACATGTATTGAATATCTCTCTGTGGTCTTTGATCTCTACACTTAATTTGAACCTTTTGTAAGTGTCCCTTTAAGAGTTAAAGCACCCCAGCAGAGCGAAATCCTCCCTCTGAGGATCTCCGTACATATCCCGCTAAATCGTCTAAGACTCGGTTTCCCGTCACATTGACTGTGAACCCTTTTAGAAGTGTATCTTATCAGCGTCACCTTTGACGGGTGTCCCCTGATTCTTTTTTTATTTATTTATTTTTTGATTAAAAAAAAAACAGAACCTTGTAGATGGAGGTTAATGCAGACTGTTTGTGGGACGGGGGTGGGGGTCCGTTTGCGCTAAAGCAGAGGGATCAGATACAGGGTCCGGTGAAGTGGGCGGAGGAACAGTTAGAAGAAAAAGTAGCAAATATTTCTCGTCAAGGCAGAAAAGAAAAAGCTTTCAGACCTCACTGCTGTCTTTGCTTTGTGTAGTCCTGACATGTGCTGCACCTCGAGCTACTGCAGGAGACTGCGGGGTGGGAGGGGGCAGAAGTGAGACCGCAGAGACAACAGCGACTGATCGCGTCGCCTTCACGCGACTTTTTACGGGACGCGCCGAGCTCAGGTGTTCGTTCAGAGCCGCGAGATCGAGAAGAAAGAGAGAAATTACACTTAACGGAGGGTTGAGAGAGGCCTTTACCAACGGCAGCTGTGCTGTTTAACTCTTCCCTGCTTAATAGGAGAAACATGGCCGAGTGAGGGTGATCTTGTTCTAACGGCCATTGAAACATTTGTTAACCGATAAATACACTGAAGCATCAGGATTTTGTAGTTTTTTTTAGTAGCTGGCTCGTTGATGTGGCGACGATACGGTAAAGCTGTGCTGTCTGCTGCGACCTGCAGCTGCTGAGACCTCGAGGGTCGTCCTGGTTTTACTACAGTGGATGTCAGCAGAGTCTAAACTAAACCCGCCACAGGTTTGACATTTAAACCATTAGAATCGCAGCGGAGAGCACGAGCACTCCCAGCCCGAGCGGTGACGTCACCACCAGCTCCCTCTGCCATTCGCAGGGTTACAGCGTGGTGGCACTTTCACGGGTTCAAACTTCCACTGCAGACGTGAGCAGCACGCTGGGAATATTTCACCTTAAATATGGAAGTTAAAGGGCCCGGTCACGTGTTGTAAGAACACTAATGCTAAATAAGGAAAAATTTAAAAAACAAAATGTCAACATTTCTTCTTTGGTTTTATTTGACTTATTTAAGCTGGTTTTTGTTCCCCGCTGTTTCCTGTTCTCTGTGTGAGTCGTTCGGCTCAGAATGATCAATTATCTGAGCTCGGTGACGAAGCGAGGGGCTGATGCCTCTCCGCGGTCTCATTTCTGACGCTCTCCCTGCGTCGTAGGTGAGGGAGGGGCAGGGGAGCGTTACCTGGATTTAAAAAAATACAGAAAAAAGACGAAGTGAAGAGCTAGAGTAGAGACTTTGTGTTGGGCACAGTTTTATAATCGTACTCTGTGGATATATGACATGTATTTGATATGAAGAAACATTTGTATCGTGCCTGCTACTGTCAGTGTTCTTTTTTTTTTACTGCTTTGTGTAAATGCGCTACAGCTTGAGGAGGGAAAATTAACCTTAAAGTGACATTTTCATAGCTAAACTGTGAGGAGGCGGCTGAGAACAGTATTTATGCACTTACAGGTAGGTAGACTAAAGTTTTCACAGCGGTGACACAAACACTGAAAACGGCTGTTTTACTGTTAATGGATCGTTTGTACGGAGAAGATTGTGATTGTTGCACGGCAGGCGGACGGTGAAGACCTCCTTAGGCAGTCTGTATCCAACACACATGCACCTGAAACACAGGACTGATCAGATGGCCGTGTTTCTCGCTCCCTGCAAAGTAGTAAAAGTGCACTTCGTGGCAAAAGTTTGTGGACGCATGAGAGCTTATCTGCTGCAGATTTTTAGCAGTAGTCCCAAAGTCACGAGTGAGGCTTGATGAGCGTCACAGGAAGTGTTTGGTGGGCCAGAGGAGACCTGAACGCCACAGCACACAGTGGTCCCAGATAACAAAAAGAAACCTCACACTTGGGCCGGATATTACTTGCCATTTGGGTTTTGGTACTTTCTCGGATTCATTTGATGAGCCGTTACATTTAACTGTGACTCAGTGTTTAATTAACTTTTAGAAAATGTGTCTAAATTCTCAGTAAATTCTGACAAAAGGCCAGAACAGGAATATTTAGAGGAGGTGATTATTTCACTGCCTTCATGGTGCTTTAGCCACAGGCGCATCATTTGGCCCTAACAACCAACACTTATTTCCACTGTGAGGTTGTTGTTTGAACATGGAGGCAGCCTCAAGTGGCCATCAGAGGAACTGCAGTTTTTGGCACTGGGAAAAAACCCGTCAAAGTTAAAGGATAGATGGACCTTCCTTTAAGCAGCAAAAGTGCCCGAGTATCAGATTAAAATATGATCCCTTTTAAATGGTTGAGCCAGACAGGTGCGTCCACTTACTTTTGTCCACGCGGTGCATATGTGGTCACGTTTTTGTTGTGTTCTCCAGCTGGAGCCAGGTTAAGACGTTCCCCTGCAAACAAACCCAGTTCATGTGCTCAGAGACGTCCCGATGTGGCCCCCCCGCTGATTCATTACTCGCATTAAAATGAGTGAAACAGCTTCTTGCATGCAGCTCATGTAAGAGACAGCCGTCTGCTTGTTGCCCCCCTTTCACAAAGCGATCTCTCTGTATATCCTGTTTATATTTGCTCTGGAACTGGACGGATGTACCAATTCTTTTCTTTTTTTTTTGTATAAAAAAATGTGCAATTAAGGGTCAAAAGGTCACCGACTTTGCTGTAAGGTTTCCTAAACGAGCAAGCACACGAAAAGCTTGCAACATTATCTGCATGCTAAACCCTCTTTAGTTCCAGTTCCACGCTCGTCTCTGCGTGCAGGACGGACGCGAGCACCCAGGGACGGGAGCCGATCTCCGAGAGGTTTCCACAGTAACAAAACTCGTCACCTTCTTTCGTTTTTGTTTTCCTCTCTTCGGGGTTACTTCTGACGCTGTACAGTTGTGGAAATGTGATTGTTCTCGTTATTGTGCATTTTCTCAATAACTGGTTTATGATGATTCTTGTTGCTGTATATGTGTATTTGAAAATAAATGCTATGAAGTCACCGTGGTGGTGAAGGAGTGCAAAAAAATCACTCCCAGATCAGACGGGACTCATTCATCTGTTTCCAGCGGAATTCAAATATTTATGTTATTTGGTGCTTTACATTTTCTTTACAGTAACGATGTGTTTTACTGCATTTATGAAATACGAAACATAAGAGAAACTTTTTCCTTTTTATTTATACGAGCAAAATGCAACAGCTGTGAAAAAGAGGGGGAAAATTTATTAGTGTGTAAAAGCTGAAACGGTCACTGTAATAAAAAAAAAATCACTTTTAATTTAAAGAATAAAAATGATTAAGCTAATAATTTAGAAATTACTTTTAAAAGGCCTGTTTCAGTCTTATTTTATCCAGAGTTCAGTATGAGGTCGTCCTCTTAGTGCAGCTGCACAACAATCAACCCTGGGACCTGCAGACAACAATTATATCGAAATTCACTAATAAACGTAAAAGTCACAATCTGTCCAAATTATTCTGTTCTTTAATATTATCAGCAAAGCAGCAGGAAGCCCTCAGCAGTCACTGGAGGCCAACACTGGCACTTAAACATTGATTAAAGGTAAAACCTGCTTTGGTTTTATTTCTGAAGCAGCTGTATACTTTGATGTAATACCACTTTGCACCACAAGATGGAGCACTGAATTTTCTCAGGCTCTAGAAGGTGTTTTTTTTTTTTTTTAAATTATGATTAATTGTTTTTAAAACTGCAGGCTTACGTTTTTTTTAAATAAGGTAAGTGATCTACTTTAAAATGTCAGCCTGGTGAACGATTAGACTTTAGAGGACGCGAGCAGCAGCAAACATCTGGAAACGTTAAAATGCACCTACTGGTGAAATGCTGCCCTCTGGTGGTGAATGTTTTCATTCACACGTTGAAACAAAAAGCACCTTTAAGTTGTCAGCGATAAGAAAATAGCAGTGCTATAGCTATAGGTTTATGCTTTTTTCTTTAGTGTTCGCTTTATTTTTAATTTCTTTCAGTTCAAAGTTCACAGCAGGCATCATAAAAACAGCCAAGTTTGAATAAACAGCCACAAGTTCTGTTAACAATTTCATCAAGTAAGGTTTTGTTTTTAAAGCCCAAAATACTTTTATAAATGTTTTAGCCAACCAAAAAGTTTTCACACTCAGTTTTAAACTGTAGTAACAGGTCAAAGGTCACCCATGTCAAAACAATGTTACTTAGTGCCAGGTTAGCACACTTATGGACATCATTCAGCTGAAATGAAGCTTTCTGAGCCGGCAGTCTGAGGATTGGTGCAGCGGTCACAACAGGAAGGTCGCTCTCGTCTCAGAGCCGCCAGGTGGCGTTTCAGTTTCGTCCCACAATCCAGGTCTAACTGCAGATTGTAGGTGTGTCTACAAACAAGACTTCTAGTTGTACTTTTAAAGCAGCAGCTTCCTCCTCAGGCTCCTGACAGCAGGTCAGTCCTCATGTTTTATTCTCTTCCTGACATAATCCCAGAGGATAACTGGGTCTTCTTCTGGGAGTCAACTGGAGCTTTCTCTGGTGAGGCAGACACATTAACCACTAAACTGTTTAAACCAGTCACCTCTCCACTGAAAGAAGTTGTGGCATTGAAACTCCTTTCAGCTGTTTAATCTAGAGTTTCACACCCTGAAAGAAGAGTCGCTCCATTTCCTGTTAACCTGCTCAAAGCGCTGCTGATTTTTCCAGCAGATGCCTCAACTCCCCATTTAATCACTGCCTGAGTGCCCGTGAGCCCGGGCGTACGTTCAACCCCAGCTGTGAACCTTTCACACCTCTGACAAAGTCAGTCAGAATTAAAACTCCTCGCTTCATTGTAAGAAAATCTTACTTTCTACATAAATCATGCGTGTTACTGCGTTCTAATTGGTCTGTTATGGATTTAAAACAGGACACGTCAGTGAGGATGACACTTCCAGACGCAGCAGGTGGAGGTGGTGGTGTAATCAGGACGCTGATCACAGTTGTTTCACTTCATCAAATCTGACAGTAAAAATGTAGATTTCTGGCTCGTTCAGGACCACCTATGAAAAGTCTGCATTCAAACACCTGGATCCAGAGGACAAACGCAGCGCTACACCTGCGAGAGGCGAGCGGTGACATCACACAGGTTCAAATGAGCTGAGAGCAGGACCACGGCACCAAGTTAAACATAAATGTTTTAATGGTACTATTTACAAAAAAGAAAAAACAATTCAGCTTTTTGATTAGGTTATAACTGCTGCAACAATCAAACAGGTACATCGACATCTCGCTTAACTACAAAAAAAGAAAAAAACAAACAGTGACTGAATGGCTGCGGGATAAAAAGGTGTAAAATGAAAAACCATAGATTTTTTTTGCATAGCAATTAGTTACTTTAAGGTGGAGGGAGGAGGAGGAGTGTGTGAGGTTATATGGAGGATGTGGTGAAAATAAAATCCGGTCCGAGTGTGACGTTCGATCGATCGATCGGTCGGAGGGGGCAGCAGAAGATTTTTTCCCTTGGAGAACCTGAGCTCAGGGCGGCTTCAGCTGAGAGCTGCTACATGTGAAATGTGAGAGGAGGGAGGGCGGGGTTTGTTTGCCGCGCTGCGATTTGACGTTTCCATTTCCTCTTTTCTTTTTTTAAATTAAGTGGACGCCTTTGTGCCGTCGGGATCGGACGCAAGCGTGTTTGCTGACATGCAGCGGCGGCGCTTTGAGGGGTAAGTGCTTTAAAAAGAAAAAAAAAAAAACACTAATAAAAAACAAACTTAAAAACGCCGCGTCTGTTTGTGCTGCCCTCTGTGAAGCTGAACTGAAAACAGAGGCAGCGGCGGGAGATCAAAAAAGGAATGATTTACTATTAAAAGGAACGCACAAAAAAGAAGAAGAGGATGAGTCAGAACAGAACGAGAGAAAAACTAACAAAAACACGTCAGGAATGAAAAAACAAACATAATGAAGCAAACCAGACTTGGCAGTTTAAAGAAGTGCTCTGGTGAGTTCAGGCGACCTCTAGTGGAAGGAGGGGGAACCACATCTCAAATGTATCCGTTTTATTTGGATGAGGAAGGTCTGAGGGGGCGGAGGAAGAGGAAGGGCTGATTTTTTTTCTCCTTTTTTTATTGTTTTATTTGTCACTCCACTAAAAATGTACATGGGAATTACAAGCAAACTAGTCAATAAAAACAAAAACAAAAAAAACCCTTTGGCCATATTTTTGAGGAGTCCGCTACATAGTGCGCTACGAGTGTACACGCGACGTATGAAACACCACTAAGCCCCCATGTACATTGTTTAGCCTACTACAGAAATTTTTTTGTAACGTGTTGTTTTTATACTTTTTTTTTTTTTAAACATTTATCTTTTTTTTTTTTTTTCTTTCGTGTGACAAAAAACAAGTGTCGGGAAAGGCTTCTATCTCCGTAATGTTCACTAAAAACTGTGAAAGTATTAGACTGATGTTTGAATATCAAACAACAGGAACCCATTTAATGTTATTCTGCGCTGAGGTTCTGCTTGTTAATGCCAGAGAGGAGCTGTGTGTGTGTGGGTGTGTGGGGGGGGCCCTCATTCATCGGTGGGTGGAGGACTTGTGTTTTAGGGCGCCGCCACTGTTCTCGTCGTCAAGGGGCGGCTCTGCGTCATCCGAATCGAGGCGTCCGTAGGCCATCGCTCGGCAACCTGAGATGCTGCGCATCCTGGGCCTGACTTGGTGGTCGCTCTCAGACTCGGGCTCTGGGGCCGGGTCTTCGGGCAGGGGGAAGCACCGGCGTTCCCACGGCGCCACCGTCTGGGGGGGGAAAAAATGCGGGTGTTAAAAACGAATGAAAGTTTCAGACGCTTCACAGGCTGACTGATCCTCAGGGGTGGAGCTACGTACCCGCTCTTCGAAGGTGAAGTCTGGCGTGGAGCACCGCGTGTCCTCACTGGACAGGAGCCGGTGGGAGTCCCTCGAGCAGGGCGTGTGGGGGTTGGAGGCGGTGTCGGGGCTGGCGGGACTCATGGGCGACGGCACGTAGCTGTAGTCATGCAGCATTGGGCAGTGGCCCGGGTCGGGGGACGCGGGCTGAGGGGTGGGCGGGTTGGTCCCGCACAGCAGAGGTGTGGTGCGCCCGTCCACGGACTTGTACGACCTGAGGAAGAAACGGAGGAGTTGTCAATGTCACAGCTGCCGCGTGACAACAAACGCGAGGCGCTTACTGAGGCGTATGATGCTGCTCTTACCTGCTGCCCCGCCTCTTAGCAGGAGCCAGGGCCCTCCAAGTCCAGCGAGTGCGCTCCTGGTCCTCGTAGGCCTGATGGAGCTGAATGAAAGCTGCGTCTGACAGGTCCTCCACCTGCAGAAACATCGCATGTCATCAGGACCCCCAAAACTCGTTTGCTTCAGTTTAATCATCAAACACTCTGAGAGAAAGCAGTTTGACCATCTGAGCTCGAACAACGACGCTGAGATGTTTTTATAACTTTTAATGTCACGCTAAGAATTTGAAAGAAGGGTTTTTAGGTTTTCAAAGCCTTCATGATTGCTTCACAGGTTAAAATGTACGAGTCAGATCCGACCACCAGGTGTCACTGTTCGCTCAGCAGCTCAGGATCTCCTGAACGGATCCTAACATCCCAGCTTAACACGTGAAATCTGATAAATACCACAGATGAGGTGGTTCTCTCACCTCGCGTTCGTTCTCCTCCTCGGTTATGGGCTGCGAGAAGACGTCCACACACCGCCAGCTTTAGAAAACAAGACAAAAACGTGTGAGTGCAGGGAACCAGCGGCCACAGCAGAGTGGTATTTTTCCATGCAGGTATCGGTTTACCTGGGCGTGAGAATCTCTTTGTACTGAAGCTTTTCCACGCGGGTGGTGGCAGCCACAGACATGGGGATTACTATGTTGTTGATGTCGAAGGAGCTTTCACCTCGCCTCCTCTTGATTGGCTGCTGCTGGAGAACAAAGGAGGAGTGTAAACAAGCGAGACTTTACACAGAAGTCTGCAAACAATAACGACTCGACCGGCTCCGACACACTTTCAGCTCAAACGCTCTCACAGCCTGCAGGGAGGATGACACGTGTCATCATGTTAATCCAAAAGATGAAGGTTAATAGAAACTGAGGTCATCATGAGCTCACTTCACAAACACATTTGGATATTTACAATTTACAGGTTTCCTCCTTAATCCAAGGAGACTTTGTTTAATAAATGTTGTCCATGTTGGTGTAAAAGACCAGCAGGCAACAATTACACGCTCATGTTTTAGGGTGAGTGTGCAAATGAGCTGAAGATGCCCTGCAGGTCACAATCAGTTGGTCGAGTCTGCAGCATTTAACCATTTCTAGGTCCAAATACTCCTTCAGCTCCCGAAAAACAAACCGAGGCAAAACCGAGCGCTCCAGATTTATCCAGCTCCAAGAAAATCACCAGATGAACTTTAATATCCGTGAAAAAGAGGCTTTACGAGGTTTAGAGACTCAACTTTGGATGTAAATGAAGACAAAACATCATTGACTTGTAACAAGTTTGTGAAGATGAGTACATGCAATTCAATACAAGCACAAAAAAGATGTAGGACGAGTTAAATTGCTTCCAAAAGTTCACACGGCAGGAAGAAGACGCTGAAAGCAGACTGAACTTCAGCCGTGAGAACCTCTGGAGTGAGCCCATCCACAGCAGCAGGTTAATCAGTAAAATGCTGCTTCATGGTTTCAGATTACTCGCTAAGAAGTCCTGAAGCTAAGCTAAGCATCCACACAGACAGCCTGATTCTGAAGTGTGAAAATAATGAATTAAAATAAAGTAAAATTATTAAAATAATAATGATGAAAATGAGAGAAAAAAGCAAAAACAAAAACAAGCCCAGACAGCGCAGCACGTTAAAGCGCTCCGACCACGAACGGGGTCACAGATCACGAGTTACAGAGCGGATACGGCAGCAGCTGGCGCAACGAGTCTGCCGAGTGTTTTTGTTTCCTGCTGCTTTTTCTGCTCCAGCAACCACAAAAAAGTTTCAGCTCCAGTTTAACGTCTGAACCTCCGCCCAGCGACAAACACTGTGTGATGAGTGTTTATCGAGGCCGTGTTCTTCTCACACCGAGCCTCAACTTTTACTTTTGTTCGCATTAATGGCGCCAAAAACGCATCAGACAGTGACGCTCGCAGCTTGTTTGCATGCTGCCGCCGCAGAAGTCTCAGTTTGTTTCCCGTCTTCCTCACTACAGCACAGCTTTCCCACACACACCCCGTCTAAGACTTTCCCTGGAACACATTTTTTTAATGCTGTGCCTGTCATCTTGTGTCATGTGAAACCATCAGATTTCCACGCAGCTACTGAAATAAATGAATGTCATTAATAAAATATATGACTGCAGTAAAGCCTGCTTAAAAAAAAACACAGCGAGCATTTTTAAAAACCCCGGACTGATGATTTGAATCATCCAAATAAGGTGTGAGATCTGGGGTGGCGTCCTTACAGGCGTGCTCAGGACACTCTGGCTGCTCAGGCCCAGCGGCACAGAGTTCTCTGAAGATGTGGACAGCTGGCGTGTTAGGGGGCTGTGCAGGGACGAGTGCATGTTGGCTAGAGTCGTGCAGGGGGTGCTCGAGTCCATGAAGAGCTTGGGGGAGGCTGGAAGAAAGAAAGAAAGGAAAAGTCAGGCGGGTTTCACTGATGGGACCTCAGATTAAAGCAGTCCCTGCTGCAGACGTGTAACTCACAGTCCGCTCTCTCCAGCGAGTGCTCCCTTATTCTCTTGCGGCTGTAGTTCTTGTCGTACGGCCCTAACGGGGTCGAGATGGCCTGCAGCCGCTCTGTCTTGCACACAGCCTGGCCCTCCAGCCTGGCCGCGTTCATCACGCCGCTGCTGCCGCCGCCGCCTCCGCCAACGCTGCTGTCAACTGTCCTCGACTTCTCAGCACTTCTCTTGTGGCCCAGTCCTGCAACACCAGGAGTACATCAGGTTACTGTCATATACAGCACAGGTTAGGACAACTGACGGCGCTTCCACAGTCATGGACGTTTACATTACACATTAAAACAAACATGTTCAGATAATAAAAATTTACTCCAAGACTTTTGTTGAGTTTAAAAATCCACTGCCTGAAGTTTTTAGTTGGCTTATGTTCATATGTCAGATATTAAATCTTCACTTGTGAGATGGTGGAATTAGTAAATGCGTATTTTCTCCTCTAGGATAACAACCAATCAACAGCTGCTCTGTTCTCAGCTGAGTGGATATGACATCGAGATCGGGCCTTCTCAGAAGGCAGATTCTCTTCTGAGAAGCGTCTCATTGCGTGAAATTAGGAAATACGGCAGCTACTAGGACAGAGTGAACTGTGAAACCTACACAGCTGGAATTAAGCAGAAACCTGACCTGAACAACAATCACACTGTGTCCCAATAATGTGCTGACTTTAAAAATGACATTTCGTAACATCGTACATTTGTACACATTTGTCTGTTTCTTCACGTCTTATATTTATTTTGAATGTGAGAGGTCGTATTTAAGTCTGGGTGATGTGATCTCAGAGGCGTCGCTGTGCTCGTGTGCTGCCGTCAAATGGCAGAAAGCTGCCGCTCGGACAGCTCCCATACTTACTGACTGCCATGAGCGAGTTGGTGAACTTGTGCTTCTCTTTGGATGAGGAGAGCTTGTGTTTGAGGGAGAGCTTCTTCAGTGGTTTGCTCCTCTCCAGTGACTTGGTCTGCCACTGGCTCTTCATCACCTGCTGCAGGCGCAGACCTATACAAACGTCTGAGGAAGACAGCGGCAGAGGAAACGAGACTCAGAAAAATAAACTTCCTGAAGAAAATTTTATGCTTTCCCTCATATTCTGTCAAATACGTTCTTGTTATGGTGACGGAGGTTCACGTTAAACACGGTGAAACTTTCAAATTAACGAGGTCAGCATACGAGATAAATGCTGACTCAGTCTCGGGCAGTTTTTTTCTACACTTGGCTCTTCTCAGGCACACATCTCGACCTTCCAGATGTTTCCAAGGGGCAGCCAATCAGGAGCTTACTTTTTTCACACAGGAGGACAAACTGAGGGCACTTCTGTAACTACACTCACATTACCCCCACCAGGGGGCAAAGTTTTCCGTGGATGTGTTAAAACTCAAATGTAATGAGGGTTAAGTGTTGAGCGTTTTTAGGCAAATTGAGGTTCAGATGAGCACACAGTAGCATAAACTGATATTACATCACAGTGCAGCCCAACTTCAGCTAATAAATATATTCCCTCAGGGTTTTTTTTGTTTGTTTTTTTAACCCCAGAGGGAATATCCACTACTGAAGCACTACTACTAGAACAAGAACGCAGCAGTAACGCACATACAGGCTGCCAGACACCATTAAGCAACAAGAACAGGAGAAGAAAGCACTGTAGCTACCAGGGATCAGACTGGTAAGGTCTGTATGGAGCTGTGACATTGCATGCTGCTGTACTCACAGGAGAAAAAACACAAATATCTGCCACAAATATAGCATTTCAAGTAGTCTGGGGTGGAGGGTGGGTGAAATGATCATCCTTAATATGAATCATGCCAAGTCCAAGAATACAAAAGACATATTCCTAAAATTAGTGCTATAAACTCTTGAAGAGTTTTCTGCAGTTTAGTGATTCACATGAAACAAGCCTCAGAGCAGCGGTCCAAATGTTCACTAATAACCTTTAAAGTCACCTCCAAAATGTTCCCCCTTTGTTTTAGTGTAAACAAATTTAGGTGCCCAGTGAAAATTACATCCATGAGACACCCTGAAATAGCTTAAGAAAAAACAAAATGATTAAACAGTGAAAAGAAAACACGACATCACATCTCCTCTGGGCTCAGAGTTTCAGAAATAACCCAGTTAAATTACAGGAAAACAGACGAGCAGCCCACAACCCAGACTTAAGACAATTACACTTTTCCCCCCTGTATAATTAAAAAATAAAACTTATTTCCTGTCATTTATTGGTTTGTTGGTTACACATTTTATTTATCGTTAAAGGCAAAAATAGAACACTAAACTGCCTGAAAAGTTTTGCCCTCCCTCTGGGGGCAAATCAGACGTCCTGATAGGCTGAATCTGGCACCAGGCTGTGTGCTTTACACTGCAACCTTAGATAATCTATTCTGTGAGCTTCAGCCAAACCTACTGCTTCATTTGTCCGTGTCGTGTAAAACTGTTCATGTTTTGATTTGCAGTAAAGTCAGAAATTCCTGTCTTCATTTATGTGAGTTCCTTGCTGCGCAGAGAGAGAGAAGACTCTAAATGACTAAATATGTTCAGCAGAACTTCCTGCTGAGCTCACAGCCACGCCTTGTTTGTCTTCCCCTCTGAATGTAGAGGAAATGGCTGCGTAAACTCAAGCTCCGCTCTGAGACCAGCACTGACCGTCGGGGAAGGAGAGGATGGGGTGGACGCCAAGATCCAGCCTTGACAGGCGCTCCAGGGTGGGCAGCTCGTACTGAGGGTCCTCTCTGGGGGTGGGCCAGCCACCGCACATCACACAGGTGGGGTTAACCCTGCAGTTACACTGGATGCAGCTGCTCCTCGGGGCCTGCCAGGAGGACAAACGAGAGCGGTTGCAAATCATTCACAGCCAAGCTGTGATTATTAATAATTCAGCGGCTTCACCGACACGGCCGTTAAACACTTATTGAGTGAGTCATGCCAGAAAATGTTCTGCTCTTTAGAGCCACTGACGTCACGCTCCGTGTGCCTGCTTTATGTCTATTCCCCCCATTTTTAAAATTGCTCTATTATTAGTTCTGCTGGTACTTTACTGAAACTTTCTCTTTTAATAGATACAAAAACAGAACAGACTGCACCCGCTCCTTAAGCTCCTTGTTGAATTTTATCTAGATTTTCTTCTTTTCCATTGACCTTTTGTATTTTATTCTATTTTTTTCCTATTTAGCTGTGCCATTTTTTTCATACTGAGCCATTTCAGTTTGTGTTCCACTCTATTTAAGCCATGTTGCGTTTAATGAGTTTGGTCCTCCTACTAGAACCCCCCCCCCCCCAATATAATCAGACAATACCTATTAGAATTTGTAAATCACTGGTGTTCAAAAGTTCCTCTGCAGAAAATGTCCTCCATCTCATCTGAGATATCAGCTCCTATTTTGATTATGTTTTGCTAGATGAACGCGCGTGGACGTGTCTGACACCGGTTTAGTTCGCTGTACTTCGTCCCACAGAAATAATCAGTGTTTCCTCCTCACTACTGAAACCAACCATATTATTACACACTAATATAGTACATTTAAATCTCTTTCAGCACACTCTTTAAAGAAGCTGTGGTAGTGCCTCAAGTTTCTATGCTATGATTTAGGGAGTTTCCTGGTGTAAAATCAGGTGGTCTCTGAGCCACTTGGTTTCACTTTTGCCTTGTGATGTGCTCCATGATGAACAGATCATCACCAAACTATCCTGAATCAGTGGAAGACGATGAGTCCACAAAGTGATCGACCTGGGGCTTCGATAAGGAGGGAACATAAACCAATCAGGTCAACACTGTAAATACTGACACTCTGTAAACATAAAAGTGGGGTTATTTATAACTAATCATGAAATGATTAAGATTATTTTTCACTACATCATAAAAACATGTTAAAAAAGAGAAGCTGTTTTAGAGGCACAGCATTTTAAAACGACAGCTGTGAACGATTTGGATTTTATAATGTAAATAGTTGTTTAATGTAAAACATGCATTAAGCTTCTTATGTCCTGCTGAACTGATAGGATTTTCTCTCTTTCTGAATCATGTGGTTCACCATGCTTTGATTTGAAGGACCTTTTTGTTGTTTCTTTGAAAGTCTGTTTTTTTTTCCTTTTTAAAAATATTGTTTATAAAAATAAGCAGGAGAAATATGACTGCATAATTGTAGTAGTAGTAGTAGTATTTTTCAGTTTAAAAGCCTCAACACATTTAGAGACTTAAAGTCACACTCAGTCTCCCAGAGAGTGGGGAGGGGTGTAAACAATTAGAGAAACGTTTCTATTCCCCCCTCAACTAAAACTTGTGAGTCGTCACATGGGGCCATTACTACCCTTTGTTGTTCGACTCTGAATAAAGATGCCCTACTTTCCCCATCTCTCGTTTACTCAGTTATTAGGTCACGCACCAGCCGAAGAGTGAAGCCTAAAACACTAGGCGCTGTCTAACAAAAAGCCCTTTCACTGCTCTTAAATGTGCAAAACTGAACATTCAGCATGTTCGCACCGTTTCCACAAAGACTCCTTCACACGCGTGTGCCCTTGCAGCTTCTTTCAAGTGAAACTCAAGAATAATCACACAGAGCAGAAAACTCACCTTGCCGTTAAGGTTGGGCACAGTGTTGGGCTGAATGAGTCGCCGCCGGCGGCAGCTGATTAGCGGCCGCGTACGTGCAGCCACGCATGTGCTGTCGTAGGCCGACGGCTGCTGATGCTTGGCGTCTGTGCTCTCTGCCATCCTACAACACGGAGAGAAGATTTAGCACCTGTTAAAAGCTGGCGTGCTCGTAGCTGTGAGTGCATCTCATTAGCTTAAAACTCATCAATGTGACTTTAGCTGCCAGATGTGCTACACCTCAGAGATAGCAGACTGTACTAGCAGCTGTACAGTCTGTATGATACAGTGCCCAAAGTATTATAAACTTTGCAAAACAAAAAATTTTTAAAAATCGAAATCACAGAGCACATCAAGCATCCTAAACTCTGGATTCAGGCTTCAAGATAATAACAAAACATGTGAGCTGACCCTATGTGACAGGATTACAAATAACCATCTGTGAGGACATTTTCACACTCTTTCCCGTGTTTGGAACAATACTTAATCTAATGTATTATAGAGTCTGAATATTTCAGGATGTAACTTCAACAGTTTCCACACACAAACATTGGACACACAATTCAATACATTGTCCTATGATACCTTTTTATTATAATTAATTAAAGTCAACTGGTGCCCCTTCAGAAACCTTAGCATGAACCTACACAATAAAAATTTACCTTGGGATGCGGTTGTAGCACCATACGAGTGGGTTGAAATTTGGTGCATTTTCAGAGCAAATCAATTCTACACCCACTCCAAGTGACTCTAACCCACAGGTTCAGGAGCAAAACTGCACCAATTTTAATGTCTATGATGTAGAGGCACATAAAAAAGCATTCGCTACAGAAACTTTATCCAAAATACACTTTTCACAGGTCAGTATGTGATAGGAGGAGATTTCTTTTGTGTTAACAGAGCTTAAATGTAATTTTCAGGGCTGACAATTTCTTGTAAATATCACATTTACTTGAAAAAGAAGAAACTCCGATTCACCCATCGACATTTAAAGAGCCTGTATTTAGCAAATCATTCACAGCATGAAGGTAAAACTCTGTACTGCTTCATTAAAATCCACTGAAGTCATTACTGAAAGTAAAGCCGATTCTGTCAGGTGGCTTCCTATTTGGTTAATTTTAAAAGGAATGACTTATTCTCATATGGCACTAACAACAGGAGATGGCCTGCTTTAGAAACCATCAGCAATGAGGAAGCTGCCTGAGCACAGCGTGTAGGAGGCTGAGCTCACACGATTATTACTCACTTCATTCTCACAGAGGTCATTACAGTTAATTAAAATGAAACTAAAACCAAAACCAGGTGAAAAACAACCTATGCACACTTACAAAAACAAATGTTATGTAGATTTTTGTACAGAAGTTCACTGACACATATCTACAGGACTGTGTCCACTGACTGCGTGAAATGAAAAAAACTGAAACTAATAATCAAAACAAAACTGAAACGGAGAAAATCATCCTGAAAACTAAACACAACAGAAACAAAAATAAACTAAATAAAAATCCCTGATTCAAACACAGGTGCAGTTCAACAAACTTTGCACTATTGAGCTGGAGGTTAAAGACTGTTTCATGTCTCATCAGGCGGCATCTACCAGCTACACTTTCACATTTGCTAAGAAAAAAATGAGTTCAGGGAAGCTGATGTTTAGAAGATGTGCCAGTTTTTAAAAAAAAATGCAGTATTAAGACTACAAAAACAAAAGTCACAGACAAAGCTTTGTCCATAGTGGATATTGTGATTGCGTGAAAAGCACATGAGACAAATATTATAGTTGGGTCCATTTATTACCACAGCAAAACACCACTATGCAAAGATGACTAATGTGGATGTTTTTCCAACTGAAATGTCTGCTGTGAAAAAGGTTAATTACTTTTCTACTAATCACTCCAGCTAAAATCAGCATCTCTCTAACTGCAAATCCAAACGAAGGACTCCCCTCTCGCGTTTCCTGGAAAGGCAGCGAGCCTTTCCGAGAACTCAAAATGAGGTAATCATTAGCAGCTGTACCTGCTGAGGACGCCGTTGACTGGCTGCCCGTTTTGACCTTTCCAAGGGCCCGGCTCTGTGCTGCTGATATGGGCGGTGCCCGTGTGCTCCAGCCGTTCTGAACCGGCGTCCTGCATCGACAGATAAGACCAAAACCAGTTAGACTACACCTCGTGTTAACTGGCAGGCTGACCACTCTGAACACTCAAGCAGCCGGCAGTATTTCAGGAAACTGCATTAGAGACAAACTAAATCATCTTGGTCCTGTGGCCTTGAATTATTCAGTCCAGATTTGGGCTAAGGCCTTCACTCTCCCAAGGCTTAAACCATCAAGATAAAAAACCTGAAGCACTTTTTCCACAAGCTTTTACACAAGTGAACAGTTTCATGATTCCAGTCAACCTTGTCTCATTTCACAAACATCTGCTCCACATTTCTCTATCATTTCAACTCAATAGCTGAGCGCGTGTTAATCTGTACTTTATGTCTTTGCAACATTTTGATATTTTTATTTTAAACAGTTTTTTAAAAGCTTGTGTTAAATATGTCAAATATAATGAAACATGCTACTATAAACAACTGCCATTTATATAGCAGCTTTGCTATCAAATCGGATTACCTTAAAGACAGAAAAACATTTAATTTAATGAGGTTCAACATGCAGTAGAGCAAATGTACACCGCTGCAATGGGAGGCTGCACAGCTGCAGCTGAACAGACAAACAATTTAAACACCCAGACAGGCCGACTCATCAAGAGAAATTATTTGGATCTGAGGGTTAGGGAGCTTTTTTTCCTTTCTAAACTGCTTTGATTCGGTCAGACCTGAGGAACAGATAAGAACACAATTTCCCGTGAACACTTACCATTTCATTTCCACCTGTGTGAAAACAAACAAGCTCAATATTTCAGTCATTCTCAGGGATAGACTAAAGCAGAGCTGCTTATATTTACCCACTAACACAGCATCCGAAGATCAAAGTGCTGAATAAAGGCTACAAATAATATTCATTCATTAATATTTATTTATCTTTACATTATACACTTGAGCCAAGAATGAATGGGGTTATTTATAAGAATTGATGAAGGCTAAAGATTTTATCTTGCACCATTTTCTATTTGTTGGAAGAACAAGAAGAACATTTTGTAGCCTTACTGCTGTCTAATTTTGTTTTTGTATTCTTCCCTTTGTATTCACAAAAACTGATCTGAGGCTCGCCTCTTACATAAATCTTTAAACTCATCTTCATTCAAAAATAATCCCTTTGTTAAGCTTACAGTTCATCTCGGTTCATCCTCCGTCTTAAACAGTTTCAACTTATTCTGATTAGTTGCGCATCTCAAAAATAAGGTTTGGACAGTTGGTGGGTGGAGCTTGTGCAACTTGCAGCCAGAGCTGTGTACCTGAGATGATGGGATCAGCCTTGCTAAGTAAGAAAAGGGGGGCTATGAAAACCGTGTCAGCGGTTGTATTTTAATGCAGGCAAAATGTTTTTCTAAATCAAAAGAATATAAAAATAGTAAAAATTGCCATTTTAACTGATAACAGTCTGTCTAATCTATCCAAGATGGTGGCTGGGTTGATTAAAGACAACCTCTGTCTTGAACCGTTTACTGCTTTATGAGACTGACTCGCAGGGATTACTCATGCATACAGTGACCTCATTTTTTTAAATGTTTGTCCTATTTCATGTGACCATGTACAAATGTAACAATACATGTGACAGAAATGATGTAAAAACAATAAAAAAGGTCAACAAAAAGAATAAAAACAATGGTTTTAAGCCACTAGCAGCTACTGTTCTATTAAAAAGACAATTTTTAAAGAAACAAATCTGTTTACCTGAATGTTTACAGGCTCTGCTTTTACTTCTGTCCCACCTGCAAGCACCCCACTTGGCGAAACACCTCCCAGCTCTACTGAGCCCTGAGAAATCGAGAGATGAGAGTTATACTTTCAATTCAAAGATAAAGAAATTAATACAAGTTAAAATGCATCACAGAGCTTCTTCATCCTACAGTGTCAGTGGAAATACACATAAAAGGACTCTTTTCTGATTTTATTACACTTGATGGAAGATTTTTCTGCACATCAGAGAAAAAAAAACTAAAATGCACAGACGTGTCTAATAAATGGAAGGACCGACCTTGCTGGCGCGGATCTGTCTGTAAATGTCCGTCTGCTGCCGGATGCGGTACTCCAAGTCCGAGATGTGGGCCTGGAGCCAGTTCCAGTGGCTGATGATGGCAGCTCTCTCCACGGTGTAGCGGCTCTCTGCTCGCTTCCATCTGCAGGGGGGGGGATGACACGAGTGTTTAAGTTATGGTCAACAGAAGATACTCTGGGTGATAGTGATTTATGTCACGTGTGTCCAGATCAAATCTACTCTTCACTAACTTTGATCTGGCCAGCAGATCACTTTAGGTTCTATTTATTTGAGCCAAACCAGCTGTAGCAATGGTTTGAATTCCACAGACACATTGAACTAGACAGACAGGCACACCTAAAAAAAAAAAAAGCCAACGGGCTAATACAGAATACAACAAAAAGGAAGGTTTATGCTGCAGGCAGACAATCTGAACTGAGGCGTCAGGACCTCTGATGGATTTCGATCCACCAGTCTGAGGAGATGAGCCAGGCAAAAAAAAAAACAGTGAAATCTAAAACCACGTTCTTATAAGCTTCCTTTTATGTGATGCTGTATCTCTCACCATTTTTTCATCTCCCTTTTAGGACTCTATCATATAAATAAAGTTCTTATTTACTACTACATCTTTACTGCGAGTAAATGCCCTGTGTTAGCCATGTGTCTTAAATGTGCTGTTATTTTGGTGTTTAAATTCACACATATGCACAAAGATAAGGAACAACCAATAGCAAGGAAGAGTCTCGAAGCTGATGCACTGAAAAGAGTCAAATCAAAGTACGGAGGAGCTGAGGGGGGTTTCAAAAGGCTGCAATGTACAAGTAGTTTTTTTTTTAATACTTTGTTTTTAATGAAACTTTCTACACACCTTGTTAAGCCTTACAAACATATGTGCAAGATCAAAGTTAAAGATTAATCATTGTGCTTTGATTGCAAGGTCTAATTCAGGCTTGTGAGACAAGAGAGTTGCTTTCATGGTCTTATCTTGTTCAATTGTCCTTAGGTTGGACTGGGGTGGGGGACAAAAACAAACTAATTTCTTTTCACAAAGGTCAAATTAAATAGAAACACCAATGAAAAACAACTTTATATCTAAGGCTGTAATTTTAAATAAAGAGGACTAAACAGCCTATGAAGTGAAACAACATATTTATCTCACTGAGATTAATTACTCATCCTGTCCACTCAACTGAATTGTGGTGAACTTCAAACTCACATAATCTTTATTTATTGAGCTTTCTCATGTAAAAATCCCCCAACCTCACACCAGGAAACAACTTGATAAGCAGCATGTTTTATCATTGCAGTTTGATGTTCATAGGTCACATGTAGGTTTTAACACAGCCAGCTGATGAAGGCTCAAAACATATCAACAGACTATTGTGTGAAAAAGAAAACACACCTAATTTACTGAAACTGTGGGACAGTATTATTTTCTTTTATAAAGGATGTTTCAGTGTACACTCTGCTACTAAAGGAGGTAATAAAGGAAGCACTGAAGCACCCTTCCTTAGCATTTAAGGAATTCAAACAGCTTTTATTGAGTCTGCCACACAGACACCTCCAGGTCATTTAAATCAGCAACCTTCATAAGAAAAAACGACCAGTGGGCATCAGCCCTCATCTCGCTGGGACCCAGTGTGGACTTTAGTGAAGCTCCACTTATTTATGCAACTGGTCTTCAACTACAGTTATTAGTCTGTTCCCAGTTTATATAAGTACTTTCCGGTGTTTTACTGAACTATTATTAAACACTAAAATTGATTATTTGGAGCATTTCCGCTGTCAGACTGCAGAGGTCAGTGAATCAGCGTTATAGCAGAGCTCCCAGCAGTGGCAGCTGCAGGCAGCCTGGAAAAGCATTAGAGTCAAAAAATAACATGATTAGGCATGCATTATAAATATGTGGAGAAATTAAAAATTAAAGAAAAAAAGAACTGGGGGTTTCCACTGCAGGGGTATGCTCTGTGAGAAAGGAACGAGTGCCAGCTGAGAGCAGGGTACTCCATTTTACCAGTATGACACACAGAATGGCCATTTCAAAGGCAGACATGAGAGGAAAATGTCTGCTCCTGCACAGTGCGGAAGCAACCACAGAGGGCGCCATTTCTTCCAAAGACAGGGCCGCAGAGGCTGTGGATGAACAATGAAGGTAATGACTCAGATAGCAGACAAAGATAGACCTTGCACTCCCTCTTTTTCCTCTCTTCCCCACACACCCTAACCTGTTTTCAATTTCCAGAGCCTCCAGAAAGACAAGGGAGATGGGAAGGGTCGCTCTGGCAGTCTGGAGAGGAACAGACAGGCCTTAAAAGCAAATCTACAGGGCACAGGGTGCAGGAGGGGGGTGGGGCTGGGTGCAGACGCTGGAATAACCAATAATCCAACCAACAACCCTGCCTTACTGAGGTGCTGAGCAGAAACAGAGCTCCTCTGGCGGATGACGACCATCACGGAGCCGATCAGTGCAATCAGAGACATTCCGATTTCTTCCTTGACACATCTGCTAGTCTTATGTCCCCGTTCACTACGACATAGTATGGAGGACAATGCTGTAAATACAGCTGCAGTGTTTCCTGCTGGCACTACTTCCTGTTGCTGTTACACACACACACACACACACACACACACACACACACACACACACACACACACACACACGATCAGTTCCATTTAGTCCCTTTGAATTAGAAGAATCAAACATGAGACCCAGGACCTAAAGCCAGCTCACCAAAGGGTCCAAATTCAGCCTACTTGATGTCCGACTGCAGTAAAGGTACTGCACGCAAGTACAATTGGTCCTCTTATAATCATTAAAATAATTTGTCTGTCTTGCTTTACTTAGCACAAGCATCAAGTTATATGCACTTAAGGTAAAGAGGGGTGTGTTAAACTGCCACGTCATTTCCTACAGTATTTCTGAGCCACGTGAAAGTTCAGCAACTATTACACAACATAAAAATCTGTTAGAAACCGCAACCAAATAAATTTTAAACATTCTCCAACTGTGACAATCTGAAGTCAAAATCTTGTTTTTAAGCTCTGAGCAAAGGACATCACAGCTAGTAGATGAGCCTGATATGTAATGTATGTAAAAGAGAGGCCTTTCACATACAGTTTTTAAACAGCCCTAATAAAAGAACATTTCCTCCAGATATTTTCTGTACTCAAGAATTCAAGAGGGCACACAAGCGCTGTTAAATATAATAACAATAATAACAATAATAATAATAATAATAATAATAATAATGATGATGATGATGATGGGTGACTTATCCAACCCTTTATTCTTCTAGTGTCTGTAACTTTGAAAATATTGATAGCATGAAAGTAAAATTTGGTATGTGTTCATTAAATATGGTTACTATACAAAGATCAGCAGTCACATAAAGACAGCCAAACCACCAAGGCGAGTGAGGATACATCAGCTCCTTAAAAGCAGAAGCAAAACATCACAGACATGATAAGGAAAGGCTGAACGGGAATGAAGAGCTTCAGTCCTTAGGACACCTCATCAGCACTGACAGACAATATCCCAGGTAAGTTAAAATAATCCACTCTGAAAGTGCAGAACAACCTAAAATCAGATAACAGAAGAGAAGCAGCAAGAGCTTCAGCTGCAGTTTACAAAAGCACAAACAGAGCGATCATTACAAGTCCAATGACCTCAATCACCAGGGTGACTGAGGAGGTTGAGAAAGAGGAGGGGTCAGTTAGAAAGAACCCACTACTATCACCCATTCTTTCTCCCAACGAGGAGCTCCTCCCCGCCTCTCTAATCAGGACAAATTTTCCTCCCCCCTCAACTCCCACATACACACACAAAGTGCCAGCAGCAGCCGCTTCGGTGGCCGTTTTCTGGCTGTCAGCAGATTCTCCATTGTGGTGCTTCTCTGGATGCAGCACATATGTCGTCTATAACATAGTGACCCCTTCAAAAACCACCATAATCGCTCAGTAACGCTGCCTCTCAGTAAAGCTCTCTCTCAAAAACCAGCAGGTCCTGATATCCCATCCGCTGGACACATGACGCTGCCTCATGTGAAAACAACCAGTTTTCCTATGGATGTTAATCAGGGGTGCAACAACCCGACATGTGGACCAGACAATGGTCCAATCTTTACTCAAAAAGGCTAGACCTGATATTCAGATTTGGTGTGCAGTAGTTTGGTAACAAAACGATGAGCAGTGCATAGGGATTTCTCACCTGCTAGTAAGGATGAACCAACCTGATATCTTAATCAGATGTTAGTATCCTGATCAGATATTGGTGAACTCAACATACTGACCTATTGGCTAATCTGTTTAATTCCTTTCCACAATGCACTTTTATCTCATCATGAGGTAAGAGCAGCTAGCACAAGCGTTGCATAGAGGATGCCAACAAATGGGAGAGGAAAAAAATGCTTATCATACATGATGTGGTATAAATTACTTAAGTCACCAATTTATTTCTTGACTATATTGCATTATGCTTAACTGCTCTGTGTGTGTGTGTGTGTGTGTGTGTGTGTGTGTGTGTGTGCCTGTGTGTAGGGCTGTTCGATATAACGATATATATCGAATAACGATATAAAAACGTCTATCGTTTCATTTTACGCTATCGTTTGTTTCGTGGTGTC